AAGAAGAAAAAGAAAAAAACCTATCAAGCAAAATATTGACTATCTTAAACAATGAAAAATTGATTTATGCCAGGCATTGGTGGCGCACGCCTTTAATCCCAGCATTTGGGAGACAGAGGCAGGTGGATCTCTGTGAGTTCGAGACCAGCCTGGTCTACAAAGTGAGTTCCAGAACAGCCTCCAAAGCCACAGAGAAACCCTGTCTCAAAAAAAAAAAACAAAAAAAATTGATTTATAAAAGGATTTTTTAAAAATACAGACAGTGGGGCTGGAGAGAAGACTTAGAAGTTAAGAGCTCTTGCAGTGGACCTGGGTTCAGTTCTCAGCACGCACGTGGTGGCTCACAACCATCCATAACTCCAGTTTCAGAGGATCTGATAGGCTCTTAATCTCTCTTCTGACCTCTGTGGGTAGCCCAGCACTCGTAAAATAAATCAGAGAGAGAGAAAGTGCACTTTAAAATATGGCCTGTGAGAAGACACAGAGAAGACCCTGATGGTCTGAGTTCATCCCCTAGGACCCTACATGACAGAAGGAGAGAACCAACTCTGGTAGGCTGTCCTCTGGTCTCTGCAGGCATGCCATCTGTACATGTACACACACATAATACTTTTTTGAATGAGGGAAGTTTTCACTTACTTGGGATAATGCACCCCCCCCCCGATAGAAACAGGCCTTGACCCTCTCATTTTATTAAAATGGCATACAAATATTAAAATGGTCTAACCTGCTCCCTGTTCAAGGTTGCACACTAATGCATTGAGCAATTCATGTTCTTTATCAGTTTCCCAACAGCATCAGGATTTGATAAGGGATCAAGGTCCGAGGCAGACTTGGCAGGCTCTTTCAGTGCAGATCTGTTGTCATCTGAATTGCTTGTCTTTGGTGCTAGCCATGGGGTATGAGGATTGGCATTGCTCTCTGACCAGCCTGATATTCAAAACCAAAGGGCATTAGGTCTAGCAAGTACAGTCACAACACCCCATCACTAACTGCTGGGCACATAGATGGTTAACCATGTAAGACAGAGAGGATGGTGTGACAAGACCTTTCATCTTTCTCAGACTGGGAAAAAATTGAGGGAACCAGAGAAGCATCGGATCATATCCAATTGGGATACCTGGGAAATTAAGGAAGACAGTGGACTTTGAAGAGCCACCAAGAAGCTTCTAGTATCAGCACTATTTTGCCTTTTTTCATACCCATTTTCTTGCCTAGTATAATGATTTCATAACCACACCAAAAAACATTAGAAAACCAAGAGCCATGGTTTCCTGTCACAAATGGGGAAAACTTAAGATTGAATGAACATAACAATAGGACTAGTAACCACACACACACATCTCTACCAAGAGGGTCGTGTCTCTCTATTTCCTTTACATTAGGGAAGTTGAATTAATACAATTAAATAGCTGTCCATCCCGATGTTGTGTGGGGAGAGTTTATGTGAACATTAACATTATGCCATACTTTACAATGTCAAGATATGTATTTGTTAATGCACCCAAAGGTGAATATCACCCTATATATCTGAGGTCCATATGCATGTGTGTCCAAAAGTTTGATAAGAGAAGTACAAATTCATTTCCTGAAGCGTGGAGTACCTGATAGTCTTTTTCTTCAGGTAGAGTAAAACCTTTTATCTTCCCACTGATGAAATTACCTGGTTTTCCTTATCCCAGGAAAAATTTATAGCCATTTTTGAATTTTTAGTTACCATATTTCTAAGTCTTTTACTAGCATGTTATCCTTTTATAAGAATGGTTCATACAGTTTTTACTTAATTTTTCATAGAACATAAGTACTTATAATGAGCTATGGAAAAAAATGGATATTTTCCAAAATGGATCTTGGACAAGAGCCAAAGCTTTAGTTAATTTGAAGAATTAGTGTCATTTGTTAATAGACCCAATTTTATAAATAGATCAAAATATTTGTCTATTGAATTGAATTCTATGATCACCATGTAATGTAGCAGGAATACCTCAAGAAGGAATAATTCTCTTAAAGAGAGTTATACCTATTGTTATGGCAATGTCTATCCAGCAAGTGAAAGCCTTACCTGATGGGAAAACATAAAAATAAATCTAATCACAAATTTTAAATGTCTCTTTTAGTAAAAGGAAAAATTTAAAAATCCTTTGTATTCTAAATCAGTTTTTATTTTTATTTTTTGAGATCATAACAAAGAGACAGTGCTTAAGAAAAGCTTAATGTAACAGAACCAGTAGTGTTGTATCCTTAAACTGTAATCGGCTTAGTTATAATATGTTCTTTTTCCATGAACCTTTCTGGAGCACACTAGAATTCTGGAGATACATCACTTAGGAATGAATACTGTTTTATATAAACAATTGGGATTTTAGAGTTTTTTGAAGCACTTAATAGACGAAGTTCAGAAAACCTGTATTTATAAAGCAGTGTGTTTATTATCAGGCCTTTTGATAGATCACCAAAACACATTTACAAGCATATACATGTAGATTTTAATTGCACATGCTAAAAAATTCCAATGTGAATAAAATGAAAAATTTGAAGTGGCTGCAGGTTTTGTTACTTCTTTCTTGGAATACAAAATGTGGAAACACTTATAATCACAAATGACAGAATTACATGAAACCCGGTGTGCCTGGTAAACAGAGAAGTATAAAGTTATATCCCCAGCTCCTTAAGTAGCCCAAAAACTGGAAGTTGGAGTTTTTGTGTTGCTTTAAGGCAATATCTTTTCCTAATGTTGGGTGCCAAAAGCAGAGGGTGGAGGCATGTTCTTACCCAGAAAACCACCTTCCCCATGTAACTTTAAGCTAAAACTGTTTAGTCTGAATTTATAGTGAAGCTATACTATATTCCTGTGCTTGTTGGCTTATCTAAAATACGGGAAGGGAAAAGAAAAATTCTTGTGTCAAGTATTGTGCATCTACCTAGTGCCCATCTGGAACATACTCTCTTCATAGATCATGTTGACATGAAACCCTGAAACTCTTATGGCCATTTACCCAGAAGAAAAACATCTAACAACAACAGCAAAAGTCAGGAGAGGAAGGAAGAGGTGAAATTTGTGGTCATAGTGATAATAGTTGATGAACTGTTATCTAGGACTCTGACATAGAAGAGAAGTCTAAAAGGTTAATAGGTAGAAAAAAATGGAAGGATCTGGGGGTTGAAGAATAGGAAATTGGGCTATAAAAGCAGTCAGAGGATGTCTAGTTAAAGGGAAAGATTTTAAGTACAGGAAAAACTACAGCAGAGTTATGTTCATGGCAGAATAAGATAGAGGAGTCTTAAGATTTACTGAAAAATAGTTCCTGAAGAACAGTGCTAGGTTATAGAATATGGATAAAATTTAGTTTCCGATGAAATAGCAACAACTTTTCAAACATTTATTTTGCTCATGCAAAATAATAGGTTTGTGGCTGGGCTGTGGTGGTGCAAGCCTTTAATCCCAGCACTTGGGAGGCAAAGGCAGGCGGATCTCTGTGAGTTCGAGGCTGGGCTGGACCGACAGCCTCCAAAACAATATAGAGAAACCCTGTCTCGTAAAAACCAAAAAAAAAAATAATAATAATGGGTTTGTGTGCACACTCATGCGCGTGCGATGCCTGTATATGTCAGAAGAGGAGAACATTTGATCTCCTGGAACTAGAGTTATAGGTAATTATGAACTTCTATGTGGGTGCTGGGAACTGAATTCTGGTCCTGCAAGAGCAGTGAATGCTCTTAACTGAGACATCTCTCCAGCCCCCATAGAATGGCAACTCTTGTGGAAAGGGAAAACGTGACAAGGATGAACTCAGAGGAGTCCACGGGAAATGAGAAGAATTTAAAGGTGGTAGAGATACTACAAAGGAGTTTTGGTAGGACTGATATTTTTATCATTGATCTTGGCAGTAAAGTCCTTCCTTTAGAGAAGAAAGGATGGGTCCAGGGTAGGGCACTTACACTTAACACTCTGTAGAAGAGTGCAAAAACAACAAAGACCAAATAGTGTGATAAAAGTAGGAAAACTAGATCATTGTCCAGTTTTGAAAAAAAAAAAAAGGTCAAATTGCTTTGTAGACTCTGGTTGAGCATCTTAGAGGTTTTCAATACAAAGAACTAGAGTGGTAAAAGGATAGAGGTCGGGCTGTCTTGGGAATTTGTAAACTAAATACAGTAGTGCAATTATATAGTCCCTCCAGAATTTAAATACTTTACTATAACTTTAAAATTGTGTAATTTGTTCAAAAGAAATAGGGTACTTTCCTCCAGGTTTTATTGCTCATGTTTAATCTACATGTTTTACTACACTGTACACTGATAGGTATTTATCATGTGGCAGGCACTTCCTAAATTAAATCTGTGAAATCCTCATAATCGCCTGTGAATACTATTAGCCCTGTTTTATGAACAAGAAAACTAAGGCTCAGAAAAGTCATTCCAGCTTTTGTTGTTGTTTAAATCAAATGCTCTCCGTTAAGCCCCTGCATCTTTATATAATTTTAAGCTATATTTTCTTTTTTATTGTTTATAAGTGTGTTTTGGCCCATACATGAGAGGCCAGGCATGTGTGGGGGTCAGAAGACAACCCTGGGGACTTGGTTCTCTTGTTTTTGAGGTGGTCTCTCTTTCTGTTCCTGATACACCACTTACTCTAGGCTAGCTGGCTAGGTTCTGGATGGTACATCTGTCTCCACATCTGGCTTTTCACATGGGCTTGGGGGCTTGAACTCATGCCACCAGCTTTGCATCACAGTCACCTTTACCCACAGAACCATCTCAATGGCCCTGTGACTTTCTACATAGAATAGTGTTAGTTCTAACCTCTTCAGATTGCTTCAGAAGTGATGGTACATGGAACCTCTCTAGAAATGCTCTCACACAAATTAAAGTCATAAGTACCTATTGTTGCATGTTATTTGTTTAGCTTATTTGCACTTCTAAATGAAAGTGCAAATAATTTTGCTATAATTTGAACTTTCTTTTCAATTCTGGGTATTGTGTATTTTATTTTCCTTGTATAGGAGTCCCAGCTCACAAACAAGGAAGTCCATTAGCTTTAACCCATCAAAAGCAAGTTCAGGGAAAGGAGGATATGCTGGCGTAAATCAAAGCAGACTGGTCACGTCAAGAACTATGGTTTCTGTACCTGAGATAAAGCCTGCAGAAAAACTGAATATTTCTAGCACTAAGACAGTCCAGGTAACATTCTTTTTTTTCGAAGCCATTATTGTGATGTTTATTGAATCTTTGTGTATGCATGCATATGTTTGTACACCCTGGCACTGGTGTGGAGGTCTGAAAACAACTTGGGAGAGCTGTGTCTCTTCTTCTACCGTGTGGGTTCTTGAGATCAAACTCAGATCATCAGGCTTGGTGGCAAGCACCCTTACCCCCTGAGCCATCTGCTGGTCTCAATGGTAACCATTTTTAGAATTCTAAGTTTTGTGTTTTTTTTTAATTTACTTAAAATTATGTGTGGAGGTATGTACACATGAATGTAGGTACCTTGTGAAGAGGGTATCACATTCTCAGAACTAGAGTTATAGGCAGTTGTGAGCTGCCTGATGTGGATTCTGGGAACTAAACTGATGGCTGAGAGGCCAGCGTGGGACTGATCCAGACTTCCTAAACATGGGTGTCAGTGAGGAGGCCTTGGGAATCTTTGGGGCCTCGGGTAGTAGATCAGTATTTATTCCTGGCATCCAAATGGACTTTGGGAGCCCATTCCACATGGAGGGATGCTCTCTCAGCCTGGACACATTGGGGAAGGCCTAGGCCCTGTCCAGGATGATATAACAAAATCTGGAGATTCCCCATGGAGGGCCTCACCCTCCCTGGAGAGTGGAGTGGGGATTGGGTAGGGGGTTAGGGGGAATGCGGGGGGTGGGAGAGGAGGGGAGGGAGAGAGAGCTGGGATTGACATGTGAAGCAAGCTTGTCTCTAATTTAAATTAAAAATAAATAATTAAAAATTTCAAAAATAAAGGTAGGTTCCTTAACCCACATGTGAAGTTCCAAGTCTTGGCAAAAATCTGGAGAAATCTGACCTTTCATCTCTGCTGATGGAACCATGTGGCAGCTCTATAGCAGAATCCTAAAAGTGAGCGTGCACATAATCTCTACCCAGAATTCCAACAAAAGTTCATAAAGGTCAGCATATCATAGGCAACGATATTTATAGCAGCACCATTTGATGCATGTGTGTGTGCACATGTGAGCCAGGGCTCACATATGAAGGTCAGAGGACAACTTGCAGGAGTCAGTTCTCTTCTTCCACCACGAGAATCCTTGGGGATCCCCCTCAGCATCAGCATGACAAAGAGTACCTGTACCCACTGAACTGTACAGTAGCCCAGCAGCACCATCTGAAAGCCAAAACAGCTTTAGCCTTAGCACTTGGGAAGCAGAGGCAGGCAGAGCTCTTTGAGACTGAGGTCAGCCTGGTCTACAGAGTGGGTTCCAGGACAGTCAGGGCTACACAGAAAACCTGTATCCAAAAAAAGAAAGAAAGAAAAAAAAAACAAATGGAAAATACGTAAATGCCCATGAATAGCAAGATAAAACATGATACATTAACAATGAAATACTATATAACAATGAAATGAATAACCAGTGGCTATATTCAGTAATACAAATGAATCTTGCATAATAATGAACAAAAGAAACCAGTATCAAAGGCATTTCATACAGCTTCATCTAAATAAAGCTTATAGGCTAAACTATTAAGTGTAATTACCACTTTGGATGCAAGATATTAGCTCTCCTGAAAGAAAGTTCTATGGTACTGGTAAATTTCTGTTCCTAAGTCTGATTGTCACAGAAATGGGTAGAACAACCTTCAAATGTATGTAGAAGAAGCATCAAAGACCCCGGATAATCCTGAGCAAAAATGATACTGCTGAAAGTCTGCCCATACCCAATTTCAATCTATACTGTAGAGCCCTAGCGTTATAAACAGCATGGCACTAGCCCAAAACAGATACACAGGTCACTGGAGTAGAATAGAGACCCAAGTACAAGCTCATACAGCTTTAGCCACCTAATTTTGACAAGGGCAAAAACAAAAAAAAAAATAACACTGGAGAAGAGATAGCTCCAACTGTGCTGCGGAAACTGAATAGCTACATGTAAAAGAATGAAACAAAACCATCTTGGACAAAACTCAACTCCACATGGATTGATGAGCTCGGCATAAGACCTGAAACTATGAAACTGTAGGGGGAAAGTGTGGTTTTTGTTTATGATCTAATAAAGCTTGCCTGAGACCAGAATGCAAAACGAGCCACAGCCATAGAGGCCAGGAAGTAGTGGTGCATACCTTTAATCCCAGCAGCCACACTAGTTAGCCATAGAAACTGGGTGGTGGTGGCGCATGCCTTTAATCCCAGCTCTAGAGAGGAATATAAAACAGGAGCTCAGGGCCTCAGTCTCTAGTCAGACTGCAGTCACTCTGAGGACAGGATTGCCCAGCCTGGGTAGAGCTAAGAAGTCTCTAGTGGTTGGCTGCTTTGCTTTTTGATCTTCAGCTTGAACCCCAATATCTGTCTCTGGGTCTTTATTGTTCATGCTACAGAAAAGAGTAGGAATTTTACCTCAAGATACAGGCATAGGTAAGGATGCTCTGGATAGGGTACTCAAGAAATGAGGCCAATAGTCAACAAATGGAATCTCATTGTGTACAGCAAAGGAAAACTGTCTTCATCTCTTGCAGTACCTTCCTTATTTCATTCATCATATGTTTTTGCTCACAATCAGGAGCTTCTTTTCTTTTCCTCTTTTTTTTTTTTTTTTTTTTGGTTTTTGAGACAGGGTTTCTCTGTATTGTTTTGAGGTTGTCCTGGAACTCGATCTGTCGACCAGGCTGGCTTCGAACTCACAGAGATCTGCCTGTCTCTGCCTCCCGAGTGCTGGGATTAAAGGCGTGTGCTACCAACGCCCAGCTATTTTCTTATTTTAATGTACATACTTTCTTTCAACTTCGATGGTTGGGATTTCCCCTGCCTCACTCTTATTAGATACCATTACTATAAAATCCATAACCTTTTGGGTGAGGTGTGTTGTGTTAGTTACTTTGTTGGGATTTATGTATCTGGTGTTATTTAATCAGCCACACATTTTTTTCAATTAAAGTATTTGCTATATTCAGATGGAATTTAGATGTGATACAGTTGAGTGTGTAGTTCAGCAAATAGTTCCTCAGTCCAGGAGCTGAGTGCTTGATGTAAAACACTGTATTATTCCCTGACCAGAATATTGACTGCAAGAGTAATCACAGCTGCTTGATATTCCCACTATGCAAACACCATACTAGCCAGTTTTTCACATTGGTGCCTGTGATTTCAGTAACCATTGGAGGATAAATAATCAAGGACAATATGGCATATACTCAGGATTAAGTATTGATCAGACTTGGAAAAGGAAAATAAAAATGAGGTAGGTAAAATAAGTATTAGAGGAAGCTGAGAGACTGTTATAGTCCACAGACTTTAGACCTTGTTAAGCTGTGGAGGGTTATAATTAAGAAGTAAATAGTGAAGGGTTAGTATGAGAGAAGGAAGAGGAGGGATATATATTCAATGTCCTGAAGAGTATAGTAAAGAATGTCTTAGAGTACGCTGCATGGAAACACATAAGCTGAGCTCTAAGACCTGAGCAATATACAAACAAAAGCAAAACCATCAGGAGGCATACATGCGAGATTGGAAGCAAACTAATTAAACCTAGGACATACAAAGATTAATTTATTAGTGACTTCTGTCTTGCTTTGCTAAAACACCATGACAGTGGCTGCCCCGGCCTGCAGGGTCAGTCAACGGGGAGGGAGTAAGAACGGGGGATAAGAGCCTCAAGAGACAGAGACAAGACAGGATTCTGATCAAGTCTCGTTTATGGAAAGTACTAACAGGGCTTAAGTAAGGCAGGTAGCAGAAGGGAGGGGGAGCAGTTTTCTTTGGCAAGGTATGTTCCAAGGACACAAGTCTGCAGCTGGGGGAGTCTGGAATGCAGGCCAGGTGGCAGAAGGGTGTGAGAGCCTGGACTGCAGGCCTTGAAAATATGCTCTACAGGAAGATAATCAGGCACAGAGAAACAGAAACTTAACTGTTAGTCTCTAAGAATACAGTAGGAATATTAAAATGGCTTGTATTATGCTATCCTTATTTGGGGCCCTCCACAAATGGCAACTTATGAAAAACATCTATTTGGGCTTATGATTTCAGAGGGTTAGAGTCCATGGTGGTAGAGTGAAGGAGCATCTTAGAGCTGACATCTTAATCCACAACCTTGAGGCAAAGAGCAAGTACTGGGAATCACAGGATCTTTTGAAACTCAACCCCTACACCCAGTGATACACCTGCTGCAACAAGGCCACACCCCTTCCAATAATGCCTCACCTCCTCCAACAAGGCCACACCCCTTCCAATAATGCCTCACCTCCTCCAACAAGGCCACACCTCTTCCAATAAGGCCACAACTCTTCTAACAAGGCCACACCTCTTCCAACAAGGCCACACCTCTTCCAACAAGGCCACACCTCTTCCAACAAGGCTACACCTCCTCCAACAAGGCCCCATTTCCTCCAACAAGGCCATATCTCCTAATCCTTTCCAACAGTTCCACCAACTGGAAACCCTGTATTCAAACATGAGCCTATGGGGGCCATTCTCACTCAGACCACCACAGTACCCATGCAGGGAATTCTGTCACTGTTGTGCTAAGGTGAGGTTCTCAGGTCCCTCTGGCTTTAGCAGGCTCCACTTGGTACTGTGCTGTAAACAGTTTTTTTTCAAGTCTATGCCAAAATGTATAACAATATGAATAAAATATCGTTCTATTTTTCTGACTGCTGTGTGTTTTATCATTAGAGTATAGTATTGCTTTTTAAAACTTTTCTATAAAGATAGCTTTCTGGAGCCAGGTGTGGTGGTGCATGCCTTTAATCCCAGCACTCAAGAGGCAGAGACAGGGTGATCCCTCAGTTCAAGGCTGGCCTAGTCTATAGAGCAAGTTCCAGGACAGCCAGAGCTACACAGAGAAACTGTCTCTCTCTAACATAAACTAATTAATTAAAAAGCTTGTTGTCATGCCAGCCTCTTCTATATGCATTTTGTCACCTTTGATTATATCAAGAGGCCATATCAAATGATTGTCTATACTCTCCAGGTTTCTGTATGATGATCAGTGACAGAGATCAGCTAACATTTCCAGGTCATATCTTTGCATTTATTACCTATATAGAGGTACATGAGTAAGATTTATTTTTATTTTGCTTAATTAAACATCAAGCATAAAACTTTGTTTTCTTCAGGTTTTCATGTTTATCTTGTCCTGAGAACATTATACTTAATATTTTTCTGCTATATGTATTTCTGTTTTCTTGTCTGAATATTAACTTTAAATGGCCATTTTCCACAGGTGTTTGATGTGAGAGGCATTGATGTCACTCCCCGACCACTCTACCATCCAGATCCGCTTGTCGGAACAGCAAAGCCAAATAAACTCTTGACGTCACAAGAAGGATCACTCGGATCAGACTTTATTTCTTCATATAGCCTGTATCAAAACACAATTAACCCTAGTATGCTAGGGCAGTTTACAAGGTGAAGTTTCCTGGCCCTGGTTCTTTTGATTTCATTTATATTGTTCTTTCATTTATATTGCATACATCAGAATATATATGTTTCTGGTTTTCTTTTTTCTTTTTTGTTTTTTCAAGACAGGGTTTCTCTGTGTAGTTTTAGAGCCTGACCTGGCACTGGCTCTATAGACCAGTCTGGCCTCAAACTAACAGAGATCCACCGGCCTTTGCCTCCTGAGTGCTGGGATTAAAGGCATGTGCCACCATTGCCTGGCCTCTGTTTCCAGTTTTCTAATCTATCAATCCTAGTGTTCTAGCTTTTATGTTTTAATTACATTTATTGTTCAGAACTTGACTGAAGACTTCCCACAAATTCCAAAACATCACAAAAAGTGTGTATATTTCCCTTAAGATTGCCCAAGGAACCAAAAGAAAAGACTCACTTCACAGTCAGTTGCAAATTCCAATTAGATATTTTGGCCCAGTTTCTTTGGGGTTTTATTGCTGTCATTTAAAATACAGTGCAATCACATACTGTTCTAGAATTGGCACTCAGTTCACACACTAAACATTTGGAATGCCAGATGAGATAAAGTTGACCTCTTGGTAAACAATTGAAAGCATAAATGTAAGATTTTACAGACAAATGTTATGATCATTGGTTTGAAATTTATTTTTGAATTTGTGTGTCCATTTCCTGCTGTAAATGCATACATATACGTAGATACATACATACATGCATATGCTGTGAAAGTTTTCCCTAGGGAGACATAGCACCCCAGAAAGAGAACCCATGACTGACCAAACTTGTACCAAAGTCCAGCATTGTGAATTTTTATTGGCCTTATTAACAGGAGTAGGGGGTGAAGGGTTGCTTACAGGAATTGAGATGACTCAGAAAGACATCTACATCACAGCAAAGCAGACCCCACATGGTAACCACAAGCCACACCCCTGCGCTCTCTGTGGGGCCTGTGGGCTCCACAGCCCCAGTCTCTCCCACCATAGCTCAGCTGCTCAGTCTCCTCCCCAGCGCTTGTTTACTCCTATTAACCCGGGGAGGGAGATTTGAGGCTCTTCCAAGTTACAGTTTCTCTGGGACATAACCTTTTTTTACCTCCAAAGTCTGTGAGCGTTCCCCCACCACCTCTTGTAGGAAGGTTTCCATTTGTACAGTGTAGCTATGTCTTCAGTTCCCTTTGGAGAGGAGGAAATGCTGCATGGTGTAGCTGTGTCTTGTTACCTTTCAGGAAGGCTTTGGTAAACTGAACTTTTTTTTTTTTTGGTTCTTTTTTTTTCGAGACAGGGTTTCTCTGTGGCTTTGGAGGATGTCCTGGAACTCACTTTGTAGACCAGGCTGGCCTCGAACTCACAGAGATCCGCCTGCCTCTGCCTCCCGAGTGCTGGGATTAAAGGCCTGCGCCAATGCCCGGCTACTAAACTGAACTTTTGGGATGAATTGTGAAGACTATGCAGAAGAGTGTTCTTGGCTGAGCCCCTAAACAGACTCCCAGGATGGAGGCACTAAAACATGCAACAACAAAATGATGAAAAGTGACAAGGAAAATGGAGGCTGAGAGGGAGCTATATTTAGATATTCATTCAAAATATACACTGGGAACATAGCGATGGCCTCTTGGTATAGATTTGATATGTTATTCTAAAATAAACCTTCACTTTTTAAAGACGATGAAAAATCAACTGAAGATTTAAAAGTTAGCTTGATTTATGTTGCTTATATGACTAGTATATTTGACTTTTCTACCTGTTGATGTAGTCTAATTTACACTTTTAGTTTCTCACAAGGACATTGAACAAATGTGTTAACTTTCAAAGGTCAGTTCTAGGGAGCAGCACAGTGTCGAAGTCAAGTGTGTCCACAACTGAATCAATGACAGAGGACTTAGAAGAACCAGCTTACAAGAGAGAAAGACTGGCCAGTTTTACAGGTAATAAAACATTTTTTTTAATCTCACAGTTTTAATGTGTTCTCAGTGGTTTAATTCCCCACACTGAAATTGTCATTGTCTGTAATATTTGTAAAACCTAGATTATTTTGTCACAGTTTGTATACCATTTTAAGATTAATTTCTTAATTGTGCCTGAAAGTAGATAAAAAGGAACTGAGGACCTATCTTAGCTGAGGAACATTTGCCTACATGGAAGGCCTCAAGTTTAGTCACTAGCAATACCTCCTCTCCCCCTCCTCTCCTCCCCTCCTCTCCCCTCCCCTCCTGTGTGTGTGTGTGTGTGTGTGTGTTTGTGTGTGTGTGTGTGTGTGAGAGAGAGAGAGAGATTCCATTTTTCCTATACATGTACATACAAGTCAACCCTTGGAAATAATTATCATTCTTTTCAAGTGTTTATTTTATGTGTGTGGGTGTTTTGCCCGTGTGCATGTCTGCAGAATCTGATCTGTGCACAGTGCCAGAGGAGGCCAGGGGAGGACATCAGATCCTCTGGAACTAGAACTATAGACCATCATGGGTCTTCATGCACTTGCTGGGAACTAAACCTCAGTTCACCTGCAAGTGGTAGTACCCAGGGCATCTTTCCAGCCTCTCAGCCTTTTTCCCCCCTGAGTTGGCAAATAAACAATTATAGTCTCTACATAGATAAGGGTCTGTTTGTAAAATAATCGAGTGCTTTACTCAGCTTTGTATACTGTCCTTCAATAAAAGAAACTAGGGCCCTTTAAAGAAATAGCTGAATTCCGTGCCTTGGGCATATATAAGATGAGCAAGAAAGTAAAAAAGTACTTGAACAAAACCCTGCCTATCTTCACCCCCCCAAAAAAAATGATAGTGACACAGCAGCCATTAGTGCTCCTGTCAGCCAAAAGTAGACAAGTTCGACAACAAAAAGTACGGTGCTGGGTTATAACTCTAACAATACCCAGGAACCCATACTTAGATATACAATAAAGGGTAGAGTAGACAGAATCCTATATAGAAGAATTCTAAATCCTTATGTAAATATTTGTCCTTCAAGGTGGACTTTTCCTGTCCTCTTAAATATGGGCTTTGCCTCTTGGCTTTCTCCAGATTACAGTGTATTGAAACAGAGACCAGACTCAGCTGAGTGGGGATTGTAGTGACCAGTCCCCCATTTTAGCAGCCATTACAGGCTAACATGTATTTGCATGACCTTCCTGCTCCTGTCCTGGTCACAAAGGTCAGATGCCCTCCTGGTGACAAGGAACCAATCAGAAGTTAGCTGGTGGGGCTGTGCTTTAGGGCTCTGGGTGTGCTTTACAGACAGTGCACAACAGTGATGTGCAAAACATAGCAACCGCCCTGGGAGGGCCTATGGGCCATAACAACCAGTTGACCAATCAGCACAGGGCGGTTCACTCAAACCTGGAAGCGCACCAATCCTGAGACTGTTTCATACCCCTAGACACTCCTCTTATGCTGCCCTTTAAGGTCCCTGCCTCAAGGTTGCTTGGGGTCTTTCTCCAGCCATTCGCCATGGGGGCGGGGTGAAGGGCCTGAGTTAATGGGATTAGCTCGTTAAATATCTACAATAAAAGACTCTTTGCTTTTGCATTGAAATGGGCCTCTTGATGATTTTGGGGTTCAGTATTTGGCCACAACAGGGATGATGGCAGCAAGAAGTCCTGTTGATAGCCTTGATGTCTTTTAAGATTAGATGTGGCTCCTCTGTTTCCTTCCAGAAACCTATCACCTGTGTCTTGCAATAGGCAATCCTAAATGGAAGCATGCTCCACATGCATGACCAATACTCCTCAGTCTTCTAACACAGGAAACTGCCACAGCCTAGGAAATCGTAAGGGACAGGGTGATCAAATGCGGTGTTTTGGCTGACATTTTGGAATACATTCTGAGTTTTTAGATGGCATTAAAAATGAAGCAGACTAGAATAAAAGCTTCAGATGGTGAAGTGTCGCTATCAATTTACTAGTTGCACTAGGTACACCATAGAAATGTTTACTACTGAGTAAATGTTTCCTACCGGAGACAACTGAATACAGGTTGTGTGCAAACTCTAATAGTCTTACAAATATTCTACATCTTGAACTATTCTAAAATGAAAAACTTATTCAACTGTCTTGAAATCTTTCCCAAGCCTTGGGTGTTCTGATGCCTACACTTTACAGAGCCAAAAAGAGGCTAATGCTCGGAAACACTTGGGGTTTTATTTGGGTGATGGAGCAGCTTGTTAGGCTGTCACTCGCTCCACAGGGAGATAAATGAATAATAGGTACTTGTACATGAACTCATAAAGTACCTGTGGTTAACACATATGCATTTGTGTGAGAGAGAAGCACCGTTCTGTAACTCAATCTGATTGTAATTGCACTGAACTCATTGTAGCTAAACAACAACTTAATCAAGGCTTCATCGATTGTTCTTTACTGAGGTCTCTTTTGGTTTTTTTGAGACAAGGTTTCTCTGTATAACAGCTCTGGCTGTCTTGGAACTCATTCTGTACACCAGGCTGACCTTGAACTCATAGAGATCCACCTGCTTCTGCCTTGCAAGAATGCTTGGATTACAGGTGTGCGCCACCACCGGTTGGCCTAGGGTTTCTTAAAGTGACCAAATAATATATATTTTTCTTTACCCATTTCTAAATCAGTTGAAAAGCACAGGGTATGGCCAGATACACTGGAAACAAAACAGTGCATTCTGAGTAAAAATGCTTTTGAAGCTCCAAAGTTGACCGGGTCTCACCCTTTCATTGAATGCTGTAGATTACTATAGAGTCCTTCCTGTCCTTCCAGAGGGGCTTCCTGTGTGAACATGTAAAAGGGAGCCATGATTGATGTACATGGCTTGAAGATCATCATGAGTGGAGAAAAATGTGCTTCCTCCATCACTGAAAGCAAAAAGTACATTGATAGGTTTCTAGGCAGAGATGTAAGTGTATTCTCCACCTACTATAAGACTAGTCTGGAGCCAGTGATATGTAGATTCCATAGGTGCATACTGCTGCTGGAATTTGTTTTTTACTATGTATCAAATTCAGGTAACAGTCAGGAGATAATAGACATGCACAGAATCCATTTGCTGTTCTGTGGTTTAGTCTGGATAGTGTGTTCCTCTGCCATTAAGAAGACTTATTTTTGCTGGATGGCAAGCCCTTAGGAGGCAGAGACAGGCAGATCACTGTGAGTTCGAGGCCACCCTGGTCTTCAGGGCAGAAACCCTGTCTCAAAAAACAAAACAGAACAAAACAAAAAACAAACCAAACAAAAAAAAGACTTATTTTTCCCAGCTCTAATATATAACTGGTACTGCCACATTAGATTCGGTATGTGTGCCAAATCTCATGTGAGGTTGTTTTTAGAACTATGTCTATGCTGCAAGGCTACTTTATATATAGCTGAGTCATTAACCGACATCTGATGGTCTAAAAGAGTAGACAGAGGATCAAGAGCCTGTTTTTTTTTCTTATCAGTCTCGAACTTTGCTGTGTTCCTGTGAAGTGTTAGACATCTTACTCCTGCCTATTTTCTTCATTGATGTTGTAGGAAACCTGAATTAGATGTACCTCAAAGCTGTCTGTGTAGATGATTCATTTGCTTCCTTTTGCTCATCCTATCTTAGCCAGATTTGCTATTTCAGAACAGTGCTTTTTAAAGAATCATTAAGACAGGCTAGTAATTAAACACTTCCTTTTTCCTGACCTTTATTTAATGTCACTGTAACTACACTGTAGACCATGTTCTGGGTTATTCTTCATTTAGAATTGTAGCACAAACATTTCCACAGTATCTTAAAAATACATTTATTAGAATTTCATGCACAGATAAGAATGTGTTACTATATGCAACCATTCCAGATGCTGACTTTTTTTAAAAAGATACTTGTGGGGTTTGTTGTTGTTGTTGTTGTTGTTTTAGATTATTAGGAAGTTGTTTTTCTGCAGATTCTGAACATTAGGAGGGGACTGAGTCTTCGTCTCTGGGAAGTGTTAAAATCTTGCTTTATTGTGCGGAAGCAAGTCACATTACAGTCTTATGCATCCCTGCTTTCTCCCCTTTTGTTAAGAAAAGTACACTGAAGTGTGGTATGACTCATGCCTCTTATACCAGGGCACTGGAGGTGGAGTCAGAAGGGCTGTGAGTTTGAGTCCAGCCTGGGCTACATAGTGAGGTCCTGTCTCAAAACTGCAAACCTACTGAACCCTGATCTATATGCCACATCAGGGCTGTTTCTTGCCTGTAACCTATCCCAAGCTTCTTCAGTTCTGAAATTCTATCCTTAGTATAATTCTCCTGGGGTATTGGACCTCTCACTATTCTAAAGGTTTTGACTAATCTTTTTTTAACATATTACTTATTTGTGTGAAAGTTGAGACCATTTCACACCTATAGTCAGCCAGACCTCTTAAAGATTCCTCTATCTCTTGTTGAAGACGATTGGTGGTGAACTATAAAAAACAAAACAAAAACAAACAACAAAATAATCGGGTTGCTGAGACCTCAAAGGATCAGGTGCCATTCATAATGCACATGCCCCATATTGTTTTTCACCAACAGCTACCTGAAAATCCCTAGTAAGAGAACAGGATAATTGTTACAGGATTGCCCTTGGAGCTGTGACTGGAGGTATGAGGCTAGGCTAAGACTGATACCTGTAGCAGCAAAGCAGACTGTTACAGGCTTCTCCAGTTGCTTTCACAGAGGTTAATAGTCTGCTGTTAAAACACTTTCTGTGTGTGTATTGTCATTGTGTCTCAGTGACTAGACAGTATGCAACCTGCCGTGTGCGTATCATTATTGTGTCTTAGCAGTTAGGAAGTGTGCACACTAATCGCTCTGGGATGGTCTTCTTGTGGTGTGTATTTTAGATGTTCGAGTTTTGAGGACCACACCTGAAACAACTATAACAAAGGAAGATCTGGAGAAGAACATAGAGATCATTCTCACAGAGACGGAAACATTGAAATTTTTTGACCTGCCAACAGTCATGTTCTCAGTAGAATCCGAAGAAGCTGAGAAAATAACGTATGTGTAACTCAGTTTTTCTATTATTTCTAGAAATGCACCCTTAAAATTACATTCTCTGTGATCTTATGTGGGCATGTTTACATCACATGACATTTTTCTATAGGAAAAACCCTTCTCTTTAGCACAGCCTGTGTAACTATGTGAACTTTTTTTTTTAGATTTTTTAAAATTTAAATTAGAAGCAAACTTTTTTCACATGTCAATCCCAGCTCCTTCACATTCTCCCCTCCTCCCCTGCCTCCCACATACCCCCCAGCCCTTCACCCAATCCCCACTTCATTCCTCAGGGAGGATGAGGCCCTCCATGGGGATCGCCAGAGTCTGTCATTTCATCCGGAGCAGGGCCTAGGCCCTCCCCCATGTGTCCATGCTGAGAGAGCATCTCTCCATGTGGAATGGGCTCCCAAGTCCATTTGTATGCCAGGGATAAGTACTGACCTATGACCCGAGGCCCTATCCATTGCCAAGGCCTCCTCACTGACACCCAAATTTAGGGGGTTGGGGTAAGTCCCATACTGGCCTCTCAGCCACCAGTCTGGGGTCCATGAGCTCCCTCTTGTTCAGGTCAGCTATTTCTGTGGGTTTCACCAGCCTGGTCTTGACCGCTTTGCTCATCATTCCTCCCTCTCTGTAACTGGTTTCCAGGAGTTCAGTTCAGTGTGGGTGTCTGCCTCTGCTTCCCTCAGCCACTGGATGAAGGCTTTAGGATGGCATATAAGGTAGTCATCAGTCTCACTACGTGAACTTTTGAAGAAGAAAGGGCAGTGGTTAGCAGGTCCAAAGTTCTAGTCAGCAGGACCAAGTCCTGGCGTTCTGTCACAGCTGTGTGACCATAGTTAATGTATGTTGCAAAATAGCTAGACGAGAGGATTTTGGGCTCACCACAAAGAATAAATGTTCGAGGTAGAAGATATGTTCCTTCCTGTGATTTAATAAAAGTAGTGCATGCACATATCCAAAGCCCGAGGACCTAAGTTAGAGTCCCAAGTGCCTACATAAGAAACCTGCATATAGTTGGTGTCAGAGAGGTGGAGACAGGAGGATTGCAGGGATTTGCTGACTGCTGGCCCAACTCCAGGGACAGTGAGACTTTATCTCAAGGGATTAAAAGAGTGACCGGATACCTGACATTTTCCATGTACAATCATATGTGCATGTACCAGACATACATTTAAATAACTGACATATACAGCAATAATAAATACATGAAAAATGATTCCCTCAGATTGAATTTGGTAAAGGTATACCAAACCAATAAAGGATAAACAATAGATCCTAAATCCAAACTCTGAGGATGTTAGAGCTATGGTATGATTGGATACAAAATAGTTGTGAAATGTTTCAGCAATTAAGATAGTTAAAACATTTACATTAAGAAGCTCCAACTGACCCATTTGGATAAGAACTTTATGTAATTGTCAGAAAGCAAGTATAGGTCTGAATAGCTACACAAAATGAAGTATAAAAAGAAAATGGATTATAAAAATAATGTTCTAGCATGTCAGTATTTCACACATGTACAGTACAAATCCCAGAGGACTGTTCAGAGTGGGGTAGGCTTTCCTACGCTACTGACAGACTCTTGCATAGAAGTAAAAATGAAAGCAATGGAAATGACCTCAGTGCATTGCGCTGACACTCCTGAAAACCAAAGATAGGTTTACTTTTATTTGAGTGTGTGTGTGTGTGTGTGTGTGTAAGAGAGGGGGGGAGGGAGGGAGACAGAGACAGAGACAGAGACAGAGAGAGGGAGGGAGGGAGAGAGAGAGAGAGAGAGAGAGAGAGAGAGAGAGAGAGAGAGAGAGAGAGAGAGAGAGAGAGAGAGAGATCACTAGGAGAGGCTGTAGGAGGGCATCATGTTTCCTAGAGCTGGAGTTACTTGTGACTTGGAGATTCACAATGTGGATCCTGGGAGCCAAACCCCAGGCCCTCTGTAGGAACAGCAAAACTCTTAACCACTGAGCCATCTCTACACCCCAAAAGAAAATTTTTTAAATGTTTTTTTTTAATTTATTTATTTTTATTTTATATGCATTGGTGTTTTGCCTGCATGTCTGTCTGTATTAGGAGGTCAGATCTTAGAGTTACAGACAATTGTGAACTGCCATGTGGGTTCTGGGAATTGAACCCAAGTCCTCTGGAAGAGCAGCCGGTGTCCTGTTAACCACTGAGCCATCTCTCCAGCCCCAGAAGAAGATAAGTAGAAGAAAACATAGGAACAAAAAAAAACCAGAACCTTCATAAAAGCAGACAGTATATTTAGGGAAAGATCACTTCATAACGAAAGGGGGATATAATAATTTTAAATTAAAATTTCAAAGTAGACTTACACTAAATGAAAAATTAGTAAATCCCGACTAAGGCATTCTCATTCACCTTGTGTGAGGAGGATACAAAACATTTTCTGCATTAATGGAATTAATATGTGAGTTAAAAAAATACTTCTAACTAGGCCAGGCAGTGGTAGTACACACTTTTAGTCCCAGCACTGGGGAGGGAGAGGCAAGAGGGTCTCCGTGAGATCAAGGCCAGCCTGGTCTACAGAGTGAGTTCCAGGACAGCCAGGGCTACACTGGGAAACCCTGTCTCAGAAAAAAATCAAAAATATTCATAACTAACCAGTTTTGAAAATAGCATGCACACAATGTGGCAAAAAGTAATACTTGGGAAGAATTTGTAGCTTTAGATGTCACGGATTCTCTGAACAGAGTGCTGGAATATTGGTCAACACTGAAAGTAGCATGGACGCTGGGAAGCACAGCATGAAACAGTCCTTTGTGGCAATGTAATGAAATACTTTCCTAAGGAGTTTTCAGTGCTCACTTCATACTTTGTTACATTCTGTGTTCACGAAAGCACTTGACAACATGTAATATAGAATGATGATGATATACATTCATAACAATTTTTATTAATTAGTTATTTTTTGTTATTTTACAGACAGAAGAATAATAATTATGAAATCCTTTGTAGAAATAGATTAGGCAATGACTTATATGTGGAAAGGATGATGCAAACATTTAATGGAGCCCCCAAGAATAAAGAGGTTCAGTGTGATAAAATTGTCATGGAAGAAAAAGGTAATTTGTTTGGCAAACTGTTGTTATATTTTAATATATGTTCCTGGACTCTGTCAGTTAACACATGTTAAACTATATAAATACAAAATGGAAATTGATTTGCCCAGGTCTCAATGCTAGTTACTGTAATTTATAATGTTTAGAATTTGACAAGGTAACATGAAATAATGATATACAGTATTTGAATAATACAATTGTTCATACTAATTCTTATGCACCCTATATCAGAACTCTGCACTCTTCAATTATTTATAAAAACTATATAAAATGATTTTATGATGTAGTTTGCTACTGCCATGAACATTTGTATATTCCAACAATCTTTACGTTCTTCCTATAGTAACTGGCTTAATGATCACCATAACACTATAAAGTGGGTTGATTATTAGTCTCCATTTCATACATGAGGAAACATCCATAGAGGAGTAGCCCAGGTTGTTTTTGACTTAGAACCTGTGCTCTTAAACACTACACTTACGACCTCTCCATGTTCACGGATTAACATTTCTGAGGATACTACATAAGCAAAAGCCTGAAGTGTGCAGGCAGAGGAAAAGCTAGGAGAAAGAACATATATAATCTAATCACAGTTATTACTGAATATAGCTAGGAGCTACCTTCTTTCTAAAGATTGAAAATACAAACCTCTAATAAAAAGAAATATTTTGTTTTTTCTGTAAAAGAGCATTCATCTGTCTTGTTGGTGGGAATATTTATTGCTCACCTGGTACTCCCTTTTATGTGAAAGAGAAGAATAAATGCTCCAATCTCTTTTTAGTTTTCCCCCCATTCATACCTCAATGCAGAGGTGCAGTGTGCCTTCGTGGTACATTTGGGAGTATAAATGTGGTGTACCTGGATATCCTGCTGTTTTTCCTTCTCTGATAGCAGAAAGTACAAATTCTTACTAGTATGAAACCATCTACAGCACAGCATAAGTGAAGTGTAAATTCATTCCTGTGATGTCTCAGTTCTCCTGAGGGGAAAGCAGGAGGATCAAAAGTTCAAGGTCACCCTTGGTGTGTAGCAAGTTCAAGGCCAACCTGAGATAACCTGAGGACTTTTCTTAAAGAAAATAAAAAGTGTGACAATGGAAATGAAAATGTGCACTATAGTTTGCAACAGAACATTTAGGAAAGAAGATGGGATAATAGTTTTTAATGGTAGATGGTTTCAAAAGATCCAGTCAGAGGAACAGGAAGGAAAAACAAACAAACTGAAATGGAGACCTATGGGACGGTAAGCACACATATGTGGGTGTCATGAGACTTTGAGAAAGGGACAAAGAGTAGTTGAACAGGTAGGTCATAAGCCAAGTCTCTCGAAACTTGCTAAGGGTCTGATTCGAGAAGAATAACTCCAAAAAGAGAACCACATAAGACATAAGACAAAGTGAGAATCTTGAAAGTAACTATAGAAAAGTGATTTATCACACACACAGTCAAGTTTTAACACAAATCAGTTTTGCATTGGAAACCATGGAGGGCAGAAGTTAGCACAGTGACGTTTAAAGTTCGGAAGCAAAAGAAGCACTGTCAGATAACTAACAAATCCTTTAGAAATAGAGAAATTACGATATTTCTGGGTATTCAAAAACTAGAGCAATTTATTGATGGTGGAATTGCTTTAAATGAATGAGTCCTTTAGGCAAACAGGAGGACAGTAGACAGTTACCTGAAGCCTTGTGGGGGGAAAAAGCAGTAAAAAGAACACACAGGCAAGAAAGAAGCCAGTTACTTTTGTTTCCAATTTCCTGGTTTTGTAATAGAGTTTAAAAGAGATGCAGAGGGGCTGGAGAGGTGGCTCAGTGGACAAGAGCACTGGATGCTCTTCCAAAGGATTCGGGTTCCATTCCCAGCACCCACACAGTGGCTCACAACCATCTGTAACTCCAGTTCCAGGGGATCCAATGCCCTCTCTAGGCTTCTGTGGGAATGCATGTGGTACACATAGATACACACAGACAAAACACTCTTGAGATAAATACAAATATTTAAAAACATTAAAGAGATTGATAAAGCAATGTTTAGGTTGTTAATAGGCTTACAATATATAAAGAATATAATTTTACAAAGCAAGGTAGTGGGACAGAATTGTATAAAAAGGAAAGTTTTAATATACTGTTGACCAAAACATTAACAATAGGTTTAAAATAATGGGTATATGTCTGTGTATGTGAGGTCAGGTGCCCGTGACTGAGACATTGGATCTCCTGGAGTAGGAATGACAGTTGTGGGCACTGATGTGGGTCCTGGGGACTTAACTTGGGTCCTTGGAGGGTGCAGAGTTTGTCTGTGTAGCTTTGGAGCCTGTCCTGGAACTAGCCCTGTACACCAGGCTGGCCTCGAACTTATAGAGATCTGCCTGCCTCTGCTGGGATTAAAGTGTGTGCCACCACCGCCTGGCTCCTCTCAATTTTTAAAGGAAAAGTTTGTTTTTACTAAAACATCATTCTTAAAAACAAAACAAAACTTCCACATCATTAATTAAAAGTTTAGTAGGGTCAGCAGTAGGAATGAAGTATCTAGGGATAGTACATTGCTACAAAAGCAGTAAATTGGTGGAAAAAGGGGACAGGGATCTTGAAATTATTATTTGCAGATACATGAGGTTTTCAGTTTGTATTTGATCACCATTTCTATATTTGATAATTTGAATAAATGTAATTAAGGTTTTTGACAATGTCATTGTCCCAAAAGGTACAATGTTTCTACCTAAATACTAACTAAATACTGAGCAAAAAGTAATGGGATGCTTCCCACAATCAGATCTGTAAAATATAAGATGTCTCGTGTTGTGTTAGCCACTAGCTAAAACACTGTCTCGGGTATTGTCCAAGTCTGTATCCAATGACAGCTTTGCAGTGACAAAGCTGATGAGGTGATTCTTCTCCAGCCTGGGTAGAAAGGATGTAGAAACAGAGGTCAGATGAAGAGTGAGGGTAACCCGGACTATCCCTAAGACATGAAGGCATATCTAGATGCTAGTATTGAGATGGGGCAGGATCTCCCGAGGTATCTTCATGAACTATGTCTTTGTTATTTTCCTGCCAATGCTGTTAAAATTAATGTGTTCTTAATAGAAAATAATTTTAGATTTTTCTATGACAAGTTATGTACAAAGTTGTAAAATTAGAATTCATTTTGAAACCCTTTTGCCTTTTCTTTCTGTTTAGGCATAATGGCCACTGCCTGGGATTTGTATGATTCTTTCAACATTCCCGAAGCTCTATTATCAGCAAAACAATCTTTAGTTGCAAGTAGAGGAAATTTACTTGCTAATGATCAGGACCCAAATCAACAAGGAAAGTACCATGGTCAAAAGTGAGGCTGTGTTCATCCATTCCAGGGTCTGCGTGATGTCTTCACATAGCACTCTACATTCTTCTGCAGCAGTCACAGTGTTCCTATCCACAGATCATGTAAAGCACAACTTTTCCCTAGGATCCTGCTTGTACTTTCACTGTTTCCAAGCAGGAAATTCATCTGTCTTTTTGTTTTGTTTTGTTTTTTTCTTGGATGCTTGTCAAGAGTTTGTTGTTGTTTGAGACCGGCATGGAACTTGCTACGTGCGCCATGCTGGCCTCCAGTTCACAGAGATCCTACCTGACTCTGAGTGCTGGGATTTAACACATTTACCACCATGCCTGGCCTTGCTTTTGAGTTTTGTTCTAGTGCATTTTTGCTTTCCCTCTCTTTCTGAGCTTTTTTCACATATGTGTGCATGCTTGTGTATGTGAGTGTGCAAGTGTGTGTGTGTATGTGTGTGTGCCCCAGTCCAGTGTGAATGGAGGTCAGAGGACAAACCTGAGTGTGGGCCCTCCCCTTCCACCCTGTTTGAGATAGTCTTGTTATTGTTTGCTACTAATTATTCTGGGCTAGCTGCCTTTAAATTTGAATATTTAGAACATTACATCTTCCATTATTTGTTTTCCAGTTTTGTTTAATTTTTGTTCATTTATTTTACTACCTTCTTGGTAGTTACTACTTTTTTAGTTACCATTTAATTTATGTGTGTGTGTGTGTGTGTGTGTTTGTGTCTGTTCTTCAGTTTATCTTTGTATACCTGTTCAGTTAGTTGCTTGTCTGCATATTACATTACATACACATAACTTAACAAAGTTCACTGATGTCAGCATGTTACCAGTTCAACTTCTATGTTTGTTGGTTGGTTTTGGTTTTTTGAGGTGAGATTTTTGTAGTGTGAGTTTTCTGGCCCGGCATCTCCTGCAGCCCTTGAGTTCCAAATAAACACAGACACTATATTAATTATGAAACTATTGGCTGGTGACTAGGGTTTCTTATTGGTTAGCTCTGTCTATCGCATTACTATTAATCCATGTACTTCCACGTGGTCTTGGCTTACTGGGGAATGCTGGACCTGCAACTTCTTTGCCTGCTACATGATGACTGCTCAGTGTCTCCACAGAGAAGAGAGCTATTTCCTGTTTGTCCTTGCTTATATCCTGATCCAGACCAGCTACATCACTTCCTGGGATCACATGATGACTCCTTTCTGCCTACACTTCCCAGAATACTCGTTGTCTCCTAGTCCTACCTGTCATCCTTCCTGGCCAATCAGTGTTTATTCATCAACCAATAAGACAAACATATACAGAGAACATTCCATATCAGATTTTGTTATGTACCCTGGCCTACTTGAAACCTGTGAGATACTAGGCTAGCCTGGAACTTGCTATTATTTCTCTGCCTTTGCCTCCTGAACCCTGGGATTATAGGCATGGTACTCCCTTGTTAGTTTATAATGTTTGCCTTGTGTATTTCTTCTAAATATCAAGGAAGACGTTTATATTTAAAACTGCATTAGACAATATAATGAATTTTTCAATCATAAATATCTCAGAAAGACTAAAGTGTATTTGCCATACACACTTTAATTTTATTTGTGTGTGTATGTCCAGTGTTTATGTTCAGTTGTGCATGTACATCCTCCTGTGTACATGTAGAGGTCAAAAGACAGCTGAAGTTGTCATTCTTCAGGAGCTATCCACTTTATTTTTTGAGACAGAATTTTCTTCTGGTCTTGGATTCAACAGTTTGGCTGAACTGCTTTGCCAGTAAGCTGCGGGAACCCATCTCTCCTGAGTTAGGAGTGAGAACCACTATAGCCAGTGGCTGCTGCTGCTGCTGCTTCCTTAGGCAAGGTGTCACTATGTAAGCCTAGCTGCACTGGAACTCACTATACAGACCAGGCTGGTCTCAGAGACCCACCTGCCTCTGTGTCCCGAGTACAGAGATTGAAGGCATGTGCCACCAGGCCCTGTCTAACCCCAGCTTTTCCATATTGAGCTCAAGTCTTCCTGCTTGCATGGCAGGCACTTTATTAACTGAGCCTTCATCTTCTCCTAATTTTTAATGGATGTTTTTAACTACAGAATCCAGGTGAACAGTTCTTTTCATGCAGCATTCAGAGAAGATAAGCAAATTCTTCTGGAATCTTTTGTTTCTAATGAAAAGTGTTGATACTCAAATAATTTTCTTCCTGTGAATATCTTTCCCCTCTTGCAGCTCCCAGTATTTCTATTTTGTCTTCCCGGGTATTTAATTTTTGCTTTTGTTTTCAGTATTATAAACATGGCAGGTCTTCGGTGGATGTCTTTAGGTTCCTCTTCAAGGCTCATTCGGTTTCTTCACTCTGTGTTCCTTCTTTGCTCAGTTCTATGTATTTTCAGCTGTTGGCTTCAGAAGACAATTTCTCTCCTTCTGAGATGATAATCATCTGAATATTAGAACCTGCATAGAAGACCAGGTGCTTTTGCCTGTTTACCTGACTTCCTGCGGCACTGGGGGATGTGACTGCTGAACAGGGGGCTAAGCACCCCAGCTTCCTTCATACTTCTGTGACTAGTGCAGATAGGACTGCCTCACCACCTGCTCAGCCACCGACATCACAGGATAGACACAGCTTTTATTATTGCTAGGTAGTCATCAAAATTCTGATTCCCGACACTTGTCAACTTCAGTGAGGAGAAGGGAAAACCAGATAATGCCCCGTGTCTGAGAAATCCCAGGCTCCCCAGCTGTTCATGTCTGGCATTCTCATGTGCAGTAGAGGGGAATGTTCTGGTCTTCCACTGTAGATTCTCTGAAACCACACAGGATGTCCAGGCCTCGTGGTGAGGATGGAAGCCAGGCTGTCACTTGGCCTCTGTGTCTTCTCCAGTTCTGCAGTACCACTGCTACAGTTGATGGGCTGCCTGCCCTCTGAACAGGGAGCACAGGCTTCCTATGAGCATTTCTCTCTGTGTTCAGTGTGTTACCAAGTTGCTGTCTTGTTTGTGGTGTGTCTTGAATGTATGGCTTCTTTTATGTCCTTTTATCTGGGCTGCCACCAGAAGGTGCCACTCACATTTAGCATGGGTCTTCCTGCTTCAGGCAATGTGACTGAAGAGCCCACAGGAATGCCTGGCAGTTTATGTTTTAGTTGACTCCAGAGTCAGTCAATTTAACAATTAAGATTAGGTACGACAGTGCCCCAAGTTGATACTCATTCCCCCAAATCTGTGAATATACTACCTTGCAATGGAGGAAAGAGTGTTTTTTTTTTCCCAGACATGATTACAGATTTATCTTCAAATTGGAAAACTGTCTTTCATAATCTGGTTCCCCAGTCTAAACACATAGTACTAAAAGGGCCAGAACTTTTGTCAACTGTCAATTGAGAGCAGGTGTAATGACAGAAGAAGGTCTGAGATGCACAATGTTGCTGTCCTTGAATATTGAGCACATCTTTAAGGTAACTCTTAAAAAGGTGAAGAAGCCAGGAATACAATTTCTCTAGTGCTTCTAAAGAAGAATGTGGTCTCATCAACTTGTTTTTAGTTCAATTACACAACATTCTCTAACAAGAACTTTAAGATAATCAAATTGCATTATTCAAGCCATGTGGTTTTTATAGCAGCCACAAAGCTAATAATTAGTACACTATTCATACACACACAAAAATAATCAAGTCAGACCTTTGTCTAAAGATGGATAATTATTTTATGTCAATGTGAACAGTAAAGTACAGAGAATTACTGGTTTGATTTGAATGTGCCCCCCAAAGTCCATCTGCTGGAAATTTAACCCAGAAATTTATCTACAAGTGAGCTTTGGGGGTGATACTGGAGTTAGATGGCATTGTGGGAATTGGGCCCCCACTTCAGATCACTGCTTTTGTAAGAAAACTCATCTGAGCTCACGTGCTTCCCATTTCTGGCCACGTGATGCTTTCCATCATGCAGTGGATAGCCAGAATGCCCTCACCAAATGTAGCTTCTTGGCTTTGACCTTTCAATCCTTTGGAACCATCAGAAACATATTTCTTGTCTTCATAAATTACCTAACATGTAGTGAATTTTTTTGGTACATGTTCATAAATGTTCAAGGATATGAGTGTGCATGTTCATGAGTATGCATGTATATGTGCAATGCGTGTATGTAGAGGGTAGGGGATACCTTCTGGTATCATTCCTTCTCCGACACTGTCCACCTTTTTTTTTTTTTTTTGAGACAGTCTCTAATGAGGCCCTGAGGCTTAACCACTAGACAGACTGTGGGTCCCAGGAATCCACCTTTGTCTATCTCTCCAGAGCTGGGATTCCAGCTGCTGCATCCAACTTTTTACATGGGTCCTGGGGATTGAACTCAGGTCTGCATGCTTGCACAGCAAGAACTTTATCAATTGAGACATCTCTCCTGTTCCTTAAGCTGTAATTTTCTGATAAATTACCAGAAATATACTAACATGTATGTGTATTACCTCAATATTAATACTGCATATCCTCTGAAAAATAATGATTTTTTTTGGATGGGTAAGAGTTCCACAATGAGTTGTATGTTTGTACTTTCTTTGTGCATGAAAGATTCAGTAAATGACTGTTGAAGGTGTTAGAAATTGGAACAATACCGAAATTATAAAATATAATTTAAAAATCTTTAAAATGCATGAACTACTACTTGGCTTTTTTGTAAATGAGTTGTGTTTCTATTTGCAGATAGTGAAACTAGTTCCTTAATGGATATAGAAAATGTAATTCTGGCTAAAGTTCACGAAGATGAAGAAGACAATTCAGAGGCAATACTAAAATCTGAGAAGCTTCATCAAGACTTATTTTTCATGGAAAGGGTTTTAATGGAAAATGTATTTCAGCCAAAGCTTGCAGCCTACCGCCAACTCCCTGTTTTAAAAGGTATTTTTAAAAAATAATCATGGTTAGACAAATAATTTAAAAATTAGTTGCAGTTTTGCATATTTTAAATGTAATTTCCACACTAGTTATCACTTATTAAAGAATATGCTTATGTATTTTTAACCACTTACCAATGACTTATGAAACATATGAGGAGCACTTGAGTCCAGACCAGATAATCCACAGAAGGGCTGACCTCAAATTTAAAACTTCAAAAGCATCTTTGTGCTTATTTTCTCCTTGTTCCTGCATCAGATTAGGCACTCATTTTTTTATAGTGTTTTTCGTGTTTAGTCTCCCTTTGCACTGCCGTCAACTCTCAGGTTCTGACTGCTTTAGCATCACTCCCTGATGTTAATGGCAGGGACCTTCATCCCATTCTCAGTGCTACAGATCTCCTATCATATGTTCATGGAATATTTTATTTTAGCTATTTACAAATTTATTGTCAGCTTCTACTTTCTGGAGCTGGAACCCAGGTCCTTATATAAGCTCTGCTCTTGAGCTATACTTCCAGCTGTACTTCCTGTCCTGAGTGGTTTTTGTTGTTGTTGTTTTGTTTTTGTTGTTTTAGAGATGAATTCCGTCTTTTAACGCATGAGTGAGGTGAAATTTATAAAGGTTATATAGTGTGTCATTTTATTCCAAGTTTAATCCTTTCCACTCTCTTACCTTATCTTGCAAATTTATCCTAAACATCCTATGGTCATCGGATGCTCGAACTATTCAGAGCCTTCCCATTGCTTAGGGTCAGCTACATGTCTCAGAGTGTATTATTCCAGACATCTCTACTCTGGCCAGAGACTGTCATTGTTCTCTTTGAAAGTTCCTTGGAATTCAGAGACCTTTGAAATCTGTCTGTCCATTTCTTTCCCTGTACTGTCTTTTCCTGTTGTAATCCCACTTTTCACGAACTCTTCTTGATCCTCAAATCAAAGTTAATCACCTGTGTGGTTAAATCAACAATTAGGTTACAAAATAGAATGTGTAGCAAAGGCTTATAAACTTTTTGCCTGGAAAATAGAATAATGTTTTAAAACTATGGTCTTCTTTTATGTAAGGTTGCTATTTTAAAATTTGTATCATGTATACTGTTCCATTATATATCTAAAGAGTTGTATAGTTGTAACTTAAATTACTGTAAATATTGACATTTCCAAAGCTAAACTGTTAGTATAATACTTGTTTACTAATTAAAATAACAGAACAAATACTTTAATGGGTGAGATTTATAGAAATGGCATGTTTATATTTAAAATGTATTTTAACATATTTAGAAAATTAAGTAAGTTACATAGCTAATACCCTGATCAACATAAAGAATATACCCATGAACCATAAAGGTTATCTTGTTCTGGTTACATGTAAACATTACCTAACCCCTAGGCAGCAGTTGACTTTATCTGTAACCACAAGTTAACTTTCCCAGTTGTGGTGCATTATTTAAATGCATTCCCAAGATAAATATTGTTTTTTGAGACAGTGAGATGACTCAGCAGGTATAGGCACTTGACACCAAACCTGAGTTGGATTCCTCAGAACACACAGGGTAGAGAAAACTGACTCTTGTGCATCATCTGGCTCCCGTACACACACACACACACACACACACACACACACACACACACACACACACACACACACACACACGCACGCACGTTCATTTACACACACACAAATGAGTGTAATAATAAAAAATAAAATTAACTTGAGTTTAGACTCTTTCACTCACCATTCCTGATGTTGCAACCCAGTTAGATTGGTATGTATATAAATGGCTAATTTCTCAGTGAAGTGCTCCAGCACATGAAAATACTATAATTTGTTTACTCAACAGTTGACGGATCTACATTGTGTTCCATTTGAGGTTTCTGATTGACTCTTTTGGCAAATGTATTTCAGTTTCTTTTGTGAAAATGCCTAGCTCTGGATCACTGTGTAGATGTGTATTTATCTTCATTTTAGGAACTATGAAATATTTTCCAAAGGAGTTATACCATCTTACATTTCGATAACCAGTATGTAAGAGTCCCAGTTTCTCCAAATGCTAATTATTGATACTGGCAATACCTTTAAAAATGTTATTAGCATATATTATAAATAACAGGTTGCATTTCATTTTAAACATGTATGGAATGTATGTTATCATATTTAACTCCATTACCTTCCCATGTCCCATACCCATTGACTACTTTCCTCTTTCCAAATAGCAGTTGCCTGTTTCAAGGAGGGAGGAATCATGAGGATCTATAGGCAATTAGTTTCTAGAGAGGTAGAGATGTTATCTTCATTAATATAGCCACTGGAAAGATGAACATACTTCTGTAAACAATACATTGTCCATGTAAGTAACTTTACTTAAGCCCATTGGTATACACACACACACACACACACACACACACGCACACACACACGCACGCACACACGCACGCACACACACAAGGAGGAGGAGGAGATGACAGTCTTTTTAGTGTCATCCTAATGATTTGTAATGCTGAATGCTTGTGGTTAATTTTGGTATTTGTGTACTTTTCATGTATTGTTTGACTAGGTGTTTTGCATATACTAAAATTTAGTTCTCATATTTGTGTGTGTGTGTGTGTGTGTGTGTGTGTGTGTGTGTGTATGATGTGACATGGCAGGGGGCTGTGCCAAGGCACACACGTGAAGGTCAGAGGACAGCTTTGTAGGGTCAGCTCTCTCATCGGTCTTGGGAATCATACTTAGGTTTTCTGGCTTGGTGCCAATTGCCTTTACCTTCTGAGCCATTTTGCTGCCCCTGATGGTGTTATGTGTTAAGTTCTTGTTAGGTGCAAAAGAACAGTTTATTGGGATTGAATAAAAGGAAGCTAGCATGCAGTTGTAACCACTGAATATTAATATCCAAAGAATAAAGGAAATACATGGGAAAGTAAGTAGTAAAGAAAGAGGAGAAGAAAGGCCTTTTAATAATCATGGGACCCAGAATGACCCCTGTATCATTGAAGGAGCAGAACAAAGTTGAAGAATTGAGACTTTGCAACTTAGTATTAAGCTACAGCAGTCAAGATAGTGCATGTTGGTGAGAAGATAAACAAATAGGTGAATTAGCAATCTAGAGATCTCAGGATCAGACCTGTCTAGTGAACTGATCTTGGGCAAAAAACAATACAACAAAAAAGGCAGTCTTTTCAACAAGTGAAGTTAGAATATCTACATACAAAAAAGGAAATCTAGCCACAGACTTTAGATTCCACAAGAAAATAGCTAAAATATATTATAGACTCCAATAAAAATGCAAAATTCTTAGAAAATAACATAGGTGGAACAATAATCTTGGGTGTTAAATGTGTTTAAAGTAAAACTGCCCAAACACAATACATCAAAAAATAATCGATGAGCTAAAGTTCCTTAGCAGAAACACCACAGAGAGACTAAAAAGACAAATCCCTCGAGAAAATATTCTCGGAAGATATATCTGATAAACAATTGCTGGCTAAAATGTGCAAATATGTCTTAAGACATACCATCCAGAAAACAACTTGCTGGGCATCGTGCCACATGCCTATAATCATTGGACTCAGGAGGTGTAGCAAGAGGATCAGGAGTTCAAGGCTAGGCTGTGCTATGTGACAGCCAGTCTAAAACACAGCAGCAAACCACCAATACTCCACACTCATGACTTAAAAATGAGAAGAAGGTTGATGTGGTACACATTTGTCCCACCACTCTACAGGCTGAGACAGGAACATCAAGAATTCAATGTCTGAGACGGAGAGATGGCTCTGCAGGTAAGAGAAGTGCATACTTTTTCGAAGTACTCAGGCTTGATTTGATTCCCAGAACCCACATGGTAGTTCACAACTGCTTGTAACTCCAATCCAACTAAATCTGATGCCTTCTTCTGGCTTCCACCGGCACCAAGCACACATAAGGTGCCTACACATACATGCAGGCAAAACACCCATAAGCATACTAATAGAATAAATAAAAACAAACTAAACAAACAAGAAGGATTTAAAGCCTGCCTGGTCTACATAGCAATGTTCCGTCTCAAAATCAGTAAAAGGTATAAAGAGAGATCTCACCAAGGACAATATCCAGATGGGAAAATATATCATTGGGGAATTACAACTGAAAACAACCATGAGGTATGTAAAAGAACTCACCTGTTAGAATGGCCAGAACCCAAACACATGGTAATACCACATGTCAATGAAGACGTGGGCCAAGAGCTCATTTGTGACCGGTGGGAATGTACACTGGTATGTCTAGTCTGGAAGACAGTCTGACAATTATAAAACTAAGCACAGTCTTACTGTATAGTCAGTCTATCAATAGCATCTTGGTAGGTACTCAGACGAGCAGAAAATATATGTCCATACTCATCAAAAGCCCTCTACACAGTGTTTATGGGAACCTGTTTCATAATTCCTCAAATTGGAAAGCAAGCAAAATTCCCATTACTAGGTAAATGAGTAGACCGAGGTGCACACATTGCTTGGTGCTAAGCCATCAAGTTCTAGGTGGACATGGAGGACGCATACTCTCTCTTTACCTAATTGCCCTCACTCTCACTGGCAACTCTATTCCTTCCCTGGCATTAGAGCCTACTTTTTTGGGATTCTGATGAATACTAAAAGCCAGTTGAGACATACAGTCTTATGGACTGAACAACTTTATTCTTGGGTCTTTCTGTTGGTAGACAGCCACTGTTGCACTGCCTGGACCACAGCCTGTATGTCACGCTAATAAGCCTTCTAGAGAATCTTGACTAATAACAGTCATCCTCACAACATGAGCAAATGAACACATGTAGCTATCAATAAGGCAAATACTTTTGTGCCCCCCCATGCCCACTGGACTTAAGAAACAAGCAAACCATCCACATCTAATTTCAGTGGTTCTGTAGCCCTATGATCACAATTTAGGACCCTTCAACAAAACATCACATCAGTCTATTTCATGGATGTTGATTGGACCCTGTAAGAAAATATAAACAAGTTATAAGATACTTTTATATCAGAAGGCAGAATTAAATGTGGAGGAAAAAACCCAGAAGATTCCTGCCTCAGTTAAAGATAAAAGATATTCTCTCTCTCTCTCTCTCTCTCTCTCTCTCTCTCTCTCTCTCTCTCTCTCTCTCTCTCTCTCTCTCTCTCTCTCCACCCATCCCTTGGGCTGGGGGCTTTCACTACAGCCCCTCCCCTCTGACTGCTCAGGGATCAGATGCACTACTCCTCACAGTTCACTGGCACTGACAGCAGATTTGGTAAGACAATTGGGAATTCTTAAAGGAAGGATTTAGTTAAAAGAGAGAGTTTTAACCACATTAAAAATGAGAAACGCAATTACAATGGGAGAGAGTTAGCTCTCTGTATGATTATGTAGTAAATGATTTAAAAATGGAACAATTAAATGAAAGGATAATCAACTGGGATTAACATACTGTTAATTATCTTTTTGAAAATTTTTGTTGTCAGTTTGATAATTCTTGGTTTATCTCTAAAAATGTTGGTTGATATGAGTGCAATGATAAAGGCCTTAGAAAAACTTATTAAAGTGGATCATAGAGATACTGAAATCCAGACAGAGGAATTTAATGGAAAAACCAAGTTCAGCATTGCATTATAAGGTTAAAGTGGAACAGTCTAAGGTCTTAAGAAAACCAAACTTAATGTGCCCATTAACTTTATAGGAAGTGCCAAATGATAGAGGTTCTGTAAGAACTAATGGGATGCCTGTGACAGTGTTAGATATAAGGAAATTCAAGGAAGAGGTAGTCTCATATGGCTTGCATGCACCATTTGTGAAGTAGATGTTAGACACGTGGTCAGTTTGTAATAGAGTTATATCCCTACAGACTATATAGACTTGATTAGCCTCCAAAACAATACAGAGAAACCCTGTCTCATAAAAACAAAAAAAATACAAATTAATGATGTTGTTATTGAAGATCTGGTAGCCATAGGTGTGGAAATAACATTCATAGCACCAGAATCTTGGCATCCAAATTTGCTTCTTCAGGAGTTAAATGTTAAACATTTAGGAACTGGAACTTTATCTCAGGTGAAACAGAGCACTGGAAGGGTCAAATGTACAGGGCCAGAAGGACAGAGAGGAAAACTAAAGCCATATGTTGATAATATACCAATGAATTTGTGGGGACATGATGTGTTACAGCAATGGATTAGAAACAAACCATGAATTAGCATAATTCTGGGAAAATATAAGAAGGTATTATAATGAACAGTCACCGACCATTCCAGTTGTACAAAAACATGACAGCTGCTGATCTTTCAAAGGCACCAACAGCACTACCTTTAAAATGGTTAACAGAAAAATCTGTATGGGTTGCACAGCGGCCTTTAACAGCAGACAAACTGCAGGCTTTAGAAGAGCAACTAAATGCTCAGCATATTGAGGAATCAACCAGCCCTTGGAATTACCCTGTATTTGTTATGAAAAAGAAATCAGGAAAAAGGAGAATGGTAACAAACCCAAGAGCTGATAATAAGGTGATACACCCAATGGGCTCTCTGCATTCTGGAATTCCTTATAAACCTCTCTAGTGCTGGGATTAAAGGTGTGTGCCACCATCACCTGGCCTCTATGGCTTGTGGCTGGCTTTGCATTCTGATCCCCAGGCAAGCTTTATTAGATCATAAACAATATATCACAACTCCTCTTTTTTTTTGTCTAATACAAAAAGGCTACAATTAACATAAGAAAAGCCATATATAATAAGTACAATAACTATATACAATATATACAGGCAATAAGTACATCGACAATGTTTAGTCCAGTTGCATTTGACAAATTCAGAGAAAATACTCCATTATCTATTCTATCTTGGTGAGTCCAAAGTCTTGTACTTAATTTACTTTCTATTCTAATTTGCATTATCAAATTATGTTTTAATGTCTCTCAACCTTTTACACTTTACACCTTTTTAGTGAGTTTCTTTTCTTAGTCTGGTCAACAAGGAAAACTATAACTATCTAGTCTTCAACTCCCTCAGACACCAGAGAAGGAAATAATATTAACTGAATAAGGAGGAAGTGTGAGCAAATAACTTCCAAAAAATGTGAGAAATGACAGAAACAGCTGACTGACCGCTTTGCTTTTCTGACCCTCAGCTTGAACCCCAGTATCAGTCCCTGAATTTTTATTATTGTTGGTACAATGAAGCTTGTTTTGCATTTTCAAGGTAGCAGCATTTTGATGTGCTACTCTGGCCCATTCTCTTAGTGGCCTGAAAGTCTGCTGTCAGAAGGCTTCTGTAGGTCTGGGTTACCATTCAGGTGCCCTGTCACTTTGACTGTGTATTCCAGTAGGTCTAGTGATGTTGTGTCAGCAACAGAGAACCTAGTCAGATTCTTTGGTGTGGAGAGCAATATCTCTGTTTGATTTAACTGTAGAAAATGAGCCTGGAGAGGCTGAAGAATCTTTGGAAAAGGAGAGTCATGAGGAAGCAGATGATGAGGTTAAGAAGGAGGATGAGGAAGAAACGGAAATGGAACTAGAACTAGAGATAACCACAGAGCAGTCAACAATACCAGCCAATTTGGAACGGCTCTGGTCTTTTACCTGTGACTTAACCAAAGGCCTTAATGTGAGCAGCCTTTCCTGGAATAAAGCAAATCCAGTAAGTTACCAAATGGTCTAACAATTCCATCCTAGCATTTAAAGGATAGTTCTTTTGTAAAATTTCATTAATTTGTGTGTATGGTGTGTGTGTGTGTGTGTGTGTGTGTGTGTGTGTGTGTGTGTGTACAGGCTAGCTGGCCAGATGATTCTCTTGTTTCCACCTCTGGAATTACAAGTGTGAGCCATCACATCTGACTTTTGGGGGCTTCTGGACACTGAACTCCGGTCATCAAGCATGTGCAGCAAACACTTCTACACACGGAGTCATCTTGCTGGCCTCTGGTAAATTCTAAAATGAAGGATATTTTTGTTTGTTTCTTTGTTTTTATTCAGCCATGGGCAAAGGATTTAACCTGGCTATGGAGGAAGCTTAACTTAACATCAGTGTAGCCATGACAGGCTGCAGGCTAACAATATGGGGGACAAGGCCACACCCTTACAATAACCAGGAAAAGCCACAGTTTGTACCCTGTGAGGGACCAATCAGAATTGAGACAAACAAGTACTAGATGCTCCAGAGCATTACAAATAGCTTACCTAACTTGTATATAGGTTGCCAACTTCCTTGCAGCAATGCCAGTACCAATTCCTGTTTGACAAGACTCCTGCTGCCACATTCTTGCCCACTCAGGAGTTCAACCCCCATCTGAGTCTGGAATTCCCCTACCCTCCAACCCCATCCTTTACTCCTTGAAAAACCTGCCATAGCTGAGCTCATTGCTTTTCCCAGTCCAATCACTGTGTCAGAGTGGACGGAGAGCCCCAGCTCGAGCTTGCAATAAAGGCTCCTTGCTTTTGCATACTAACTCTCACATTCCCGGTGGTCTCTGGAGGGCTCATGACATGGGCATAACAGCTATAACAGATAGTTTTAAAATGTCTCTGAATGAAGTTTTATGTTTGAAAACTCAGAAAAGTCAAATAGTTATTTTTCTCTTTACATATAAAAAATTACCATCTTTATTCTAAGAGTGTGCTTGGCACATGGTACCCTCCAAGTCCACATTAGGTGATGTGATATATACTAGAAAATAGTGTGTGATTGACTTATTTTAACCTGTCCCCAAATTGATATACCCACGTTTTTCTTCTCCTCCAAGCAGTCATATTTGGAAGGGTGTGCTAAAGCAGTGATCATGCCAATGTGTAAAACGTTTATGGGATTCCTCAGTAATATTATTACTAGTATTATTAAAATGAATAGGCAGCACTTTGTGTGTGCCAGAAACTATTTAAAGTTTTTAAAAAACATTTTATTTTTATTCTTTTACATTATGCATATGTGTGTTTGTGTGTGCATGTGTGCTCATGAGTGCAATGTCCTAGAAAGCCAAAGGCAAACTGATCCCCTGGAGCTGGAGTCAGTTAGAGGTGTTGTGAGCACAGTGTGGGGCCTGGGAACTGAACTCAGGCCCCCTGGAAAACACTACATGATCATAAGTGCTGATACATCTCTCTAGCCTTGTGCTAACTTACCTGTGTGAGTCAGATCCTCCATTATGTTGATAGGGAACTGGAGGCAGAAAGACAATAAATGATTTCTTTAACCTCACCCAAAGAGGAGACCCAGCAGCCAGAACTCAGATGCAGAAATCTGGCAGGAGAGTTCCCAAGTCACCTTGAGGCAGATAAGCTAGGTCTTAAACCTGTGGGTTGCCACCCCAAAGACCATCAGAAAGCACATACTTACGTTATGATTCCTAGCAGTACCAGAATTGTAGTTATGAAGTAGCATTGAAAACAATTTGTGTAGGGGTAACTGCAACATGAGGAACTAACTGTATTAAGGGTCTCAGCATTAGGAAGGTTGAGAACCACTGAGCATGGGATTCCTCAGTAATATTATTACTAGTATTATTAAAATGAATAGGCAGCACTTTGTGTGTGCCAGAAACTATTTAAAGTTTTTTAAAAACATTTTATTTTTATTCTTACTCTTTTGGAGTGTTGTTCTTTTGATCTTTGGGAGGTCGGCCACCAGCTCCTAAATAAATCACACACGAGCCTTATTCTTTATCAATGCCCAGCCTTAGCTTGGCTTGTTTCTAACCAGCTTTTCTTAACTTAAGTTATCCCATCGACATTTTGCCTCTTGGCTTTTTCCTTCTGTATATCTTACTTTCACTCTTATTCCATGACTGGTTAGGTAGTTGAGTGGCTGGCCCCTTCTCTTTCTCCTTGATTTTCTCTTGCTTTCCAATTCCTGTTTTTCTCCTCCTATTTATTCTCTCTGCCAGCCAGCCCCAACTATCCTTTCTGCTGCCTTGCTATTGTCTGTTCAGCTCTTTTTAGACCAATCAGTGTTTTAGACAGGCAAAGTAACACAGCTTCACAGAGTTAAACAAATGCAACCTAAAAGAATGCAACATGTTTTTGCATCATTAAACCAATGTTCCACAGCATAAACAAATTTAACACATTTTAAATTAATAATCCACAACATAGATGCTTAGTGTAGTTTGAACTCAAAGTATTGTACATACTAAGCAAGCACTCTACCACTGAGCTGTAGCCCCAGCCCTAGCCCTCTGTTTTACCAGTAATTTGTAATAGTTCATTACAATAGGTATCTTTATGCATTTGCTACTATTTCCTGCCATCCTTTCAAGTGTCTTTTTCTGGTTTTCAGGACCTTTTGGCTGTTGGCTATGGGAACTTTGGATTTAAAGAGCAAAGAAAAGGAATGGCTTGCTGCTGGTCAATAAAGAACCCCATGGTAAACCCAAACAGTAATAAGAATATTTTTGTCTCATTAAATGTTGACAGGAAGTCGGGCGTTGGTGGCGCATGCCTTTAATCCCAGCACTCGGGAGGCAGAGGCAGGCAGATCTTTGAGTTCGAGGCCAGCCTGGTCTACCGAGCAAGTTCCAGGACAGGCTCCAAAACAATACAGAGAAACCCTGTCTCAAAAAACCAAAAAAAATGTTGACAGGGTTTTTGTACGATATATACTTGTGTATAGTAATTCAGCAAAGTCCAAACTATTTTGTCAGTCAAGACTTTCCACTTACTTATGTGTGTTCACATGTGTAAGTGCCTACGTGTGCAGGTATGCATGCATGTGTGTGTGTGTGTGTATGTGTGTGTGTGTGTGTGTGTGTGTGTGTGTGTGTGTGTGTGTGTAGCTCGGAGCACACAGTCTTAGAGACTGTTGACTCAGGGCCATTCACCTTCTGTTTTTGAGTCAGGGTTTCTCAGTGGCTTAGATCCTCTTGTCGCTGCCTACAAATGCCAGTATTAAAAACACACACCACCAGAACCCAGTGTTTCTCCATGACTTCTGGGACTTAATTCAGGTCTTCTTACTTGAAAAGGCAAGAAATTTACCAACAGAGCCATCTCCCTGGTCCTCATTGTTTTCTTTTGTTTAAATTCATAACAGTTACAATTTATTCTTATTTTACATGAGGAGAAGGGAAATCATTCATAACTTCACACAATACATCCCAACCATCTTTTATTTACTGTGTTATCACAGCTAAGTATAAAGGAGCCTATAACCTAAGACCCCTTGAAAAAAACACATGTAATCAATGGGATCAGAAATAAGAATAGAGCACTCTATTTAGCTAGTAGAAAAAGAGTTAGTAATCTGAGAAATAATCATATTTTTTCAGAAAAATATATTAAACCTAAGAATCAAGCCAGTAGGTAATCCTATCAATAAATCTAGATATCTACTTATTCATATTCTAGCTTAATAACAGTATGAATTTTATAAGGAGAAAGGATAAGAATGACAATAGGCTTTTAACTAAATAGCCCTACTCCATCCATCTATTGCTGTGTAGCTTTACATTTAATTCAGCTCAGAAGTAAAATGTGATGTCAAAAACATGTAGGGTAAAAGAACGTATGTAGTGATTAAAGTTATTGTGAGTAGCCACAGGGCACTGGGTTAACACACAGAAAAATAAGCTATTTGAAATGTGGGAGGATTGGCAGAATTCATCATCAGTAGCTTGTCTCCTTTTCCACATAGGGATTAGACAGAGGAAAGGATTTAGTCCAGTCACAATAGAGTTGTAAAAAGAAGTAGGTTAGAGAGTTGGGAGGAGTTTTTCTTTTTCTTTTTTTTTTTTTCGATACAGAGTTTCTCTGTATTGTTTTGGAGGCTGTCCTGGAACTCTCTCTGTAGACCAGGCTGGCCTTGAACTCACAGAGATCCACTTGGCTCTGCCTCCTGAGTGCTGGGATTAAAGGCATTAAAGGCCTGCTGGGAGGAGTTTTTCTATTTGCTTTATAGAAATAATGAAACAATCCAGGTTTCTTCCTTCCTTCCTTCCTTTCTTTTTAATTTTCTTTATTTTATTATTATTATTTTTATTTTTTGAGACAGGGTTTCTCTGTGTAGCTTTGTAGACCAGGCTGGCCTCGGACTCAGAGATCTACCTGCCTCTGCTTCCCGAGTGCTGGGATTAAAGGCATGTTCCACCACCTCCTGGCTACAATCCAGGTTTCTAAAGCAAATGGCAGAAGGTGCATGATCTGTTTGCAGCTCGTTATGCACTTCCATCTGGAGGGAACCATGCACTTGTCACACTCGTCCCTGCTAGAGGATTGCCAAGTGTGACAACTTATACAGAAGTCCATGTTGTATTTATAAAGCCATTGAGAACTAAGGCTTTATAGTAAGTTAAGGAAGTGACTGTTGCAAGATTTGTTTTCATGTTTGCTAGAAGCTATGGCCAGGAGTAACTGAAGGGAGACTAACTTCTCAGGTTCCCCGCCAGCACAAGACAGCCTCAGCTGCCATCGTAGGTTGCCTTACTATGATACGTAAAAAACACTTACAATGTAATGGAACATCCCGCCCTCCCCACAGTGGCCAGAGCGTATTTATCAGAGTTCATACGGAGTCACCTCTGTGGACTTTTCAATCGGCACCCCTAATCTGCTAGCAGTTGGCTATCAAAATGGCACGGTTGCAGTTTATAACGTGCAGAGCACCAATAACATTCCAGTTCTGGACAGTAGGTAAGAACCCACCAAGCAGATGAACAGACATATGATGCATGCTTGTTTTTTTTTTTTTCCGGGAACATTCATAAGCGTGAATGTTTTCACTTTAAGCAAATATTCTGTTCTTACTGAGAATAAAATACCATTGTTCTCAAAATGTTGAATGCTTCTTCCTGTTGTCTCCTGCTGGAAGATTTCATACTCCTTACTTCCTTCATACTCTTCTTTGCCTACCTTACCAACAAACTTATCTCAGCTTAGTGGCTTATGGATATTCTTAAATTATTACTTTGATACCATTTCCTCTAAGAAAATTCATTGTCTTCTTTTGCATACCCTACGCACCTTAATCTTAATGCTCACCACACTACACAGACTGTTTGCTGGTGAGTAGACAGTCAGGCAGATCTTTCTGAGCTCCTGTGTAATCTCAGTGAAAGCAAAGAGCAGGATTTCTTCTGTATTCTCATTATGTCATAAAATATTTAGCTTGTCGCTGCAGTGCATGTTAGAGGAGAATTGAGGCAATGAGTAAGTTATAAGGAGAATACAGGCAGGTAAAAAGAAAAGATAGTTAAATGAGTCAGGTGGTTGCTGTTTGTTTGTTTGGTAGACTAGATTTCAGATTGGCTAAGAGTTGGCCGTATATTTGTAGCAGTGTTAGAATAAGCTTAGTGGAGACTAGGTAGAGGTTCTTAGTACTGAAGTTATTTGCATAGGTTTGCCAGAATGGGTTCTAGTGCTTATTCCTAGGAAAAAGACCCATATTTGTTTTAACCAAATATTCAAAGCTATCCCTTTACTGTAAGTTCAAAACTATCTATTGATTGGAAAGTTTATATAAAATAATCAAGGGAATGAGAAATAGGAATAGAGATAGAAAAAGTCAGTAATCTGAGAGAGAATTTTAATAAAAAAAATCTCAGAAGCAAGCCAGTGGGTAATCTTAAAAGTATAGGAGACGAAAGAAATGTTGCAGGGGTTGTTTGTTTGAATAACAGACCAAAGACAAATTGATTTGAACAATGGAAAAGAAACTATAAAAATAAAGTTACTTATTAAACATGTGTAAAGAATGGATACATAAAGCAAAAAAATATAGATTCTAAGAAGAAAATGTTTTCCTGTGTGCTCCTTTTTATTAAAAAAGGTAATAGAATTATGGGTCAGTAAAATTTTCCTTTTGAAAGAAATAAGAAACACCATAGTAAATATTAAAGTGGTTAACTATTTAGATGTATGGCTCTTGAGCACACAAATAAATAAGGAAATAACTACATAAATAAATAATTTTTTAAAAGGAGCCAGTGAGATGGCTCAGTGGTTAAAGGCACTTTCCTCTGAGCCTGAGGACCTGAGATGGGTTTCGTTCCTGGGACTCCCAACATGAAAGAGACAGTGGACACTAGCACTATTGTCTGACCCTCTGCACATGTGCCCTGGGATACATGCAACACCCCCTCCCCGGGCACATAGAATAAATGCAAATGCAAAAAATTTACATAGTGATTTGACAATAAAAGTGCACTATATGAGTAGAAAAATGATCCTTTAGAAAGTTGTTCTTAAGGTTCTCCAAATTTATCTAAATCATTTTTATTTGGCATTGTCGTCTGTTTAAGCGAGTCACCTCACAAACATCTGGGACCTGTTTGGCAAGTGCAGTGGATAGAGCAAGACAGAGGGACTACAGGGGATGACAAAAGAGAGATCTTGGTGTCTATATCAGCTGACGGAAGGATCGTCAAGTGGGTTATTCGCAAAGGACTGGATTGCCATGGTAAAAACCAGGGGGAAACCATTTTCTCAGATGTTGAACTAAAGATTCTGGGTGAGAAAAACACATCTGGGTGAAAGCTGACAGATTTTGGCTTGGTCGGTAGGTGAAAAATCTGAAGTTGGTCATTGCTTTCTGAGCATCCAGATTTGTTTTGCCCCAATTTTAATCTAATCATATGCATACAATTAATTTGCAAAAGAGACGGATATGATGCTGAGTGTACTCTTGCACGTAGTTAAACGACAAACTGTGCATATGTTTATATACGTGTGTGCGCAGACACACACATACGTACGTACATACACATCTCTTTCCTTAAAGATTTGATGCGACTGAGACGAACTACGGCTGCCAGCAACAAAAAGGGAGGGGAAAAGGAAAAAAAAGGCGAGGCTTTGATATCTCGGCAGGCGCCTGGAATGTGCTTTGCTTTTCACCCCAAGGTAAATTTATTTCAACCCAGTATCTGCCATTATCTGTTATGGTTTCCAAAAACTGAGAGCAGTTTGTGAGCTGTACACACAAAACACACATCAGTGTAGATATGGCTGCCCGTATGAGGCAGTGCGGTAGAGGAGAGCTGCGGCAGAGTTCATTCTCTTTGCAACTACATGCCTCCTAGGCATGCCTCTCCCCACTCTCTTGTACTTAGGTAAATCACCTCTAGAATACACTGCTCTATATTTTAATGTGAGAGTTAGCCCTCAGGATTGGGATTATGAAGATCACTGGAGTTCAGATTTCCCAAGACCTTGATGACATCAGAGCAGTTAATGAGGTTTGGCTCTTCCAGAGGAACTTGGGAATCAGAGGACTCAGACGCCACAGCAGACTTCTAAGAAAACAAGTTCCATATGCTCAGTCTTTCTAGTGATACTATCACGTGCCTCATTTGAATGAAACCTTATAGGACAGAGAGATGGCTCAGGAGGTAAAAGCAGGTACCCCTCCCCGACCCTGAGCCCTTGTAAAAAGCTGTATACAGTGGCATGAGTCTGTAAAGCTAACAATCGTACAGTAAAACGGGAAGTAGAGACAGTAGTAGAATTAATCAGAAGCTCATGGGCCGGCTGGCTTCAAACACACTGTTCAGTGGAAGCAAAAGTGACCTCGCCTCGACAAGGTGGGACAAAAGTTGTCCTCTGACCTCCATGCACGATGTTGATGTAATTTATGTTAGTAATATTTTTCTGTGTAATTGGTTCCCACTTTGATCTTAGTAACTTTCCTTCTTCCATTTGTATTGGTTTTAAATTTCTCTTGTCTTACTGACTTTTCAAAACGGTGGTAATTGATTTGTGAGTGTCCTTCTTTGCCACACACAGCTTTTTAACTTAAAGTTTTCAGTGATCATAAAATAAACTTTGCAAAGGGGTCAAGACTGGGCTGCTTTAACCCGCAGAAACAGCTGACCTGAGCAAGGGGGGAGCTCTTAGACTCCAGACTGATGACTGGGAGGCCAGCATGGACTGATCCAGACCTCCTGAATGTGGGTGTCAGTATGGAGGCCTAGGCAAGCTATGGGGTCTTGGGTAGTAGATCAGTATTTATCCCTGGCATACAAATGGACTTTGGGTGCCCATCCCACAATGAGGGATGCTTTCACAGCCTGGACTCTTGGGGGTCTGAATCAGTCCCATGCTGGCCTCCCAGTCATCAGCCTGGGGTCCAAGAGCTCCCCCTTGTTCAGGTCAGCTGTTTCTGCTGGTTTTACCAGCCCATTCTTTACCCTTTTGCTCATCACTCCTCCCTCTCTGTCACTGGGTTCCAGGGGTTCAGTTCAGTGTTTAGCTGTAGATGTTCACCTCTACTTCCATCAGTCACTGGATGAAGGTTCTAGGATGGAATATAAGGTAGTCGTCAAACTCATTATCAGGGAAGGGCATTTAAGGTAGTCTCTCCACTATTGCTTAGTTTGCCAGTTGGTGTCATCCTTGTAGATAGCTAGAAATCTCACTGGTGCCAGATCTCTCTTCAAACCTATAATGACTCCCTATATTATGGTATTTCTCATCCTGTTCTCCCCTGTTTTTCCCCCAACTCAACCATCTTGCTCCCCCATGACCTCCTTTCTCCTCCTCTTCTCCCCTTCTCTTTTTCCCAGCTCCCACTCCCCTCCCCGCCCTGCTCCCCATCTGCTCAGGAGATATTGCCTCATTCCTCTTTTTTGGGGTACCATGCATATCTCTCTTAGGTTCTTTCCTGTTCCCCAGACTCTTGTCAGTGAAGTTATAGGTTGGCACTCCCCTGATTCATGTCTAAAATCCATATATGAGTGAGTACATACCATGTTTGTCTTTTTGTGACTGGGTTACCTCACTCAGGATGGTTTCTTCTAGTGCTGTCCATTTGCCTACAAATTTCAAGATTCCATTGCTGTTTTCCCCCGCTGAATAGTACTTCATTGTGTAAATGTACCACATTTTCTCTATCCACTCTTCAGTTGAGGGGCATCTAGGTTCTGGCTATTACAAATAATGCTACTGTGAACATAGTGGAACAGACGTCCTTGCTGTATGAATTTGCATCTTTTGGATATATGCTTAAGAGTGGAATTTCTGGGTCTTGTGGTAGACTGATTCCCATTTTCCTGAGGAATCTCCATACTGATTTCCAAAGTGGGCATATGAGTTGGCACTCCCACCAGCAGGGAAGTAGTGTTCCTCTCTCCACATCCTCCCCAGCATAAATTGTCATTGGTGTTTATGATTTTAGCCATTCTGACAGGAGTGAGATGGTATCTCAGAATTGTTTTCATTTGCATTTCCCTGTTGGCTAAGGATATTGAGTACTTCTCAAGTGTCTCTCAGCCATTTTAGTCTCCTCTATTGAGAATTCTCTATTTAGTTCTGTACCCTGTTTTTTAATTGGATCCTTTGGTGTTTTGGAGACTTGCTTCATGAGTTCTTTGTAAATTTTGGAGATCAGCCCTGTGTCAGATATGGGGTTTGTGAATATCTTTTTCCATTCTGTGGGCTGTCATTTTGTCTTGTTGACTGTGTCCTTTGCCTTACAGAAGCTTCTTAGTTTCAGGAGGTCCCATTTGTTAATTCTAGATGTCAGTGTCTGTGCTACTGGTGTTATGTTCAGGAAGCAGTCTCTTGTATCAATTCATTCAAGGGTGCCTCCCACTTTCTCTTCTAACAGGTTCAGTGTGGCTGGATTTATGTTGAGGTCTTTGATCCATTTGGACTTAAGTTTTGTGCATGGCGATAGATATGGATCTATCTGCAGTCTTCTGCATGCTAATATCCAGTTATGCCAGCACCATTTGTTGAAGATGCTTTCTTTTTTCCCATTGTATAATTTTAGCTTCTTTGTCAGAAATCAAGTGTTCAGAGATGTGTGGGTTAAAATCAGGCTTTTCAGTTCGATTCCATTGGTCTGCCTGCCTATTTTTGTGCCAAAAGCAATTTTTGGTTATTCTGGGTCTTTTGTTTTTCCATATAAAGTTGATTATTGTTCTTTCAATTGTGAAGAATTGTGCCGGTATTTTGATGGAGATTGCATTGAATCTATAGATTGCTTTTGGCAAGATTGCCATTTTTATTATGTTGATCCTACCAATCCAAGAGCATGGGAGATCTTTCCATTTTCTGGTATCTTCTTTAATTTCTTTCTTTAGACACTCCAAGTTCTTGCTATACAGGTCTTTCACTTTTTTGGTTAGCATTATCCCCAGATAGTTAATGCTGTTTGTGGCTATTGTAAAGTGTGATGTTTCTCTGACTTCTTTCTCAGCCCATTTATCGTCTGTATAAAACAGGGATACTGACTTTTTTGAGTTAACCTTGTATCCTGCCACTTTGCTGAAGATGTTTATCAGCTATAGGAGTTCCCTTACAGAGTTTTTTGGGTCACTTATGTAAACTATCATATCATTTACAAATAGTGAAAGTTTGACTTCTTCCTTTCCAATTTGTATCCCCTTGATCTCCTTTTGTTGTCTTATTGCTCTAGCTAGAACTTTAAGTACAATATTGAAGAGATATGTAGAGAGTGGACAGCCTTGTCTTGTTCCTGATTTTAGAGGAATTGCATTGAGTTTCTCTCCATTTAGTTTGCTATTGGCTGTTGGTTTAGTGTATATTGATTTTTATTATGTTCAGGTATGTCCCTGTTATCCCAGATCTCTCTACAACTTTTATCATGAAGGGGTGTTGGATTTTGTCAAAGGCTTCTTCAGCATCTAGTGAGATGATCATGTGGTGTGTCCTTTGTATTTGCTTATATGGTAGATTACATTGATAGATTTTCGTATGTTGAACCATCCCTGCATCCCTGGGATGTAGCCTACTTGATCATGGTGGATGATTTCTGATGTGTTCTTGCTTCTGATTTGCTAGTATTTCATTGAAGACTTTTACATCCATGTTCATGAGGGATATTGATCTGTGGTTCTCTTTCTTAGTTGTGTCTTTGTGAGGCTTGGGTACCAAGGTAATTGTAGCCTTGTAAAAATAGTTTGGCAGTGAACCTCCTGCTTCTATTGTGTGGAACACTTTGAGGAGTATTGGAATTAGCTCTTCTTTGAATTTCTAGTAGAATTCTGCACTGAAGCCATCTGGGCCTGGGCTTTTTTGTTGTTGTTGTTTGAGAGACTTTGGTTGACAGCTTCTATTTCATTAGGGGTTATAGGTCTGTTTAGATTTCTTAACTGTTCTTGTCAAGTGGTATCTATCCAGATAACTGTCCATTTCCTTTAAATTTTCAAATTTTGTAGAGTACAGGTTTTCAAAGTATGCCCTGATGATTCTCTGGATTTCCTCAGTGTCCGTTGTTATGTTCCCATTTTCATTTCTGATTTCATTAATTCGCGTGCTCTCTCTCTCTGCCTTTTAGTTAGTTTGGATAAAGGTTTGTCTATCATGTTGATTTTCTCAAAGAACCAACTCTTTGTTTCATTGATTCTTTGCATGTTTTCCTGGTATCTACTTTATTGATTTTAGCCCTCAATTTGATTATTTCCTGGCGTCTACTCCTCCTGGGTCATTTTGCTTCTTTTTGTTCTAGAGCTTTCAGTTGTGCTATTAATTCTCTAGAGTGACTGTTCTCCACTTTCTTCATGTGGGCACTTAGTGCTCTGAACTTTCCTCTCAGCACTGCTTTCAAAGTGTCCCATAAGTTTGGGTATGTTGTGTCTTCATTCTCATTGAATTCGAGGAAGTCTTTAATTTCTTTTTTTATTTCTTCCTTGACCCAGTGATGGTGCAGTTGTGTATTGTCCAATTTCCATGAGTTTGTAGAGTTTCTGCACTTTGTGTTGTTGTTGAATTATAATTTTAATATATTGTGGTCTGATAAGATACAGGGGGTTATTCCCATTTTTTTGTGTCTGTAGAGGTTTGCTATGTTTCCGATTATGTGGTGGATTTTAGAGAAGGTTCCATGTGGCGCTGAGTAGAAGGTATATTCTTCTGTGTTTGTATGGAATGTTCTATAG